CAGTATGCCTGTGCCGTTTAACAGCAGATTGCAGCGGTCCTCGATCTCAACCACCGAGCCGTCGTGCCTGGTTTGCTCCATCTTCACCAGCCACTCCCCCTGTTCGTGCTGCCAGTAACACCCCACAATCCTGGTATTGAATGTCATGTATTTGCGCAGGCGAAACACTTCACAGACCTTGTCTAGATAATTCCAGATGTCGGGGGAGTGAGAGAACCAGCGAGGCCAATCAGGCTGCAAAAGTGGACGGCAAGTTAGCGACCGTGTCCGAGTACAGTTTCTCATGAACAGATGGGTCGTCCTACTTACATTCAAGGCAAACGAAAAGGCATACGCGTGACTAGGCACATCATTCGCACATCCTAGGGAAAGATGATTCAGTATGCGACCAGCCTCTGCTGCTCCATCTCCCGACTGACCTGGATAACGGTTTTCCAACCACGTTCCTCCAATGTCGTGGTTCTTATCATAGATTTTGAAATCGATGTTGCTGGCATATTTCTGGAACAGGTACGCATTCTGGATCCCTGACACGCCTGCGCCGATGTTGATGACCCGAATCTTCCGAGTCATGGGAGAGTCGTAGACAATATCCGGTATGATGTAGGCCGGGTCTCTAGGAACCCCGTTGTCTGCATAGCCCTGTGTCCGCCATTCCGACAGCCGAGCAAGATCAGGTGCCATTGTGGAGTGTAGCCACGCAGTGAAGATGAGAGACAAGAGACAAGGAAGCTGAGCAGAACACGACTCTGACAGCGAGCCGAGCTGGTTTGATCTCTTTCAATTTCGTGGCAGAGAGGGTGAGTAAATAGTGTCAAATCGACTTGCCAGCTTTAGTGATCAGTTGGCGTCTCGATACGCGCTCGTGCTCTTTAGGGCATATCAGTGCTGTTACTTTGCGTGGTTGTCGAAGACTGCCCGATCTACAGAAGACGAAAACGCCCGACTTGGCCCAACCTTTGTTCTTGAGGCACAGATTTACCGCAATTGCTGCTTGATTACCTCAAAAGGTAACAAGTCCGCAATGGGTCAACGGCATTGTTGGACTTTGTCGTACATTGTTTCCCGAATCTAGGTAGCTAGCCTACAGCCATCTGGCCTTCGACGGAAAAGTAGGGGGGAGCCCAAGGATCCTAGAAAGGGAAAAAGGAATGGGAACCCATCGACTTCTCTAGTCAAAATTCCGCTGGCTCGCCTCGTCTTCGGGTCTTGTCTCTGATGAAGTTACAAGTATATTAGATTAAGTGGAAGACATATTTCCTTTTCGGGGGGTGATAGCCACAGCCAATTAAGAGTTAGTGGTCTCCCTGGAGTGGATCCCAGCCTAAAACGGCAGTCTAAGAGCCTCGCTTCTGTCTCTTGATGACGACCGTCTCTTCTGCAGTGGATCCGAAGCCAACTACACCCTTGACAGAATGGGCTCCTGGGCGAAGACTGGAACTAACTCCGTCCAAACTGAACTTACCTTTGCACGTTGTCGACCGCTCAACTTCCAGATATCTTAGTCACTGCATTTCGAATCATCGTTGTATTTCTCTGCTGACGCTTCGGTTACATACATGGGATACAACCGCTGTCTTCTGCACGAGAATTGACAGCCTCGCCGGTCGAAGAAGAGACACGGAGTCTCTCACAGACAAGTTCACTCGTGGCAATATGGATCCGACTCCTCGAGCTCCAAGGACGCTGTCGGTCTTCACGCTAGAAGGAAAGAACTGTCTGGGTAAGCTGTGAAGAACTCCGTCTCCTGCAAATGGAAGTCAGCTCATGCAAATCAGTCACAGGGTGCGTGCAGAGCACAATCTGAGCGCATTGTCTCAGTCGCTAATGACTTTTGTATGCTCCAGAGGAGCAGGTGGTCTGGGCAAAGAATGCATCACAGGATTTGCTCTGTCCGGAGCCAACTGGTAAGGTCTTCGACTACACCAACGACAGGACCCGAAGCCTGAATAATGCCTCTTTTAGCGCCTGCGTGGATCTAGATCTGGCCTCCTGTCAAACGACTTTAAAGGAGATCTCGGCCCGAGTGCTTCAGGAGACAGGTATTGAAGCTGGAAAAATGCGTGGCTACGCCTGCAATGTCACAGACGAGGACGACGTGAAGACGACTGTCGACCGGGTGGTGCAGGACTTTGGACAAATCGACGTTCTGGTCACATGTGCCGGAACGACCATACACCGCGAGGCGGAGGCGACTGACCTTGCCACGTGGAGCAAAGTGCTCGACGTCAACCTCAACGGTACTTATCTGTTTGGTCGCGAGGTGGGAAAGCATATGTTGGACCGAAACATCCCCGGATCCTTGATCTTCATCGCCAGTGGCGCTGGCACCCGTGCTCCGAGACCTCAGGCACAGGCTTCATACAACGCGTCGAAGGCCGGCGTCAAGCTGTTGGCGGCTTCGTTGGCGATCGAGTGGGGAGGCCGTGGCATCCGCGTGAACTCCCTGAGTCCAGGGTACCTGGACACTCCCCTGTCTCGGAAACAGTTTGCCAACCAGGTGTCCGTGAAGCCAGTGCCGGACCTCAAAGAACAGTGGCTCAAGCAAATTCCGCTTGGTACGTGCTGAAAATACCATTCCTCAACCCTTGCCTTCGCTGACTTCTCATCAGGTCGCTTTGCGGATCCGAGCGAGTTGCACGGTACTCTCGTAAGTTCGAAGCAATTTCTCGCCAGAACTTGCACCCCTAACTTCCACTGTCAACGTAGGTCTGGATGGCGAGCGCAGCAAGCAGCTACTTGACTGGCTCTGATGTTGTGAGTGGAGCAAGCTGTACTCGTTTTCTTTTTCCCGCGCTCATTGCTGCCTTAGATTGTCGATGGAGCCTGGTCGGCATAGTGGCCTTGAATAGACGAATGCTCTCTTTGTGGAGAGGCCACGATGTGCTCAGATATTCAGCGATTAACACTCGTATCATCCATTGAAAGCAACTCCTTCATTCCGTAATTTGTAAAATTCACTTGGTAGACCTTGCTGAATTCTTCAAGGACGCTGATGTACAAAAATCAGCCATGTCTCAATTCCGAAGTTTCCCACCCATGTATTAAACTTGTGTGCTCCAGAGAGTATTTTGAAGGCGTTGAGATTTATTTATAGTCAATCCGTATAAATTCAAGCATCGACGGCTGAAATCTATGATTCCTCACAATTCATAGACCAGCTTCTGCCCACTCACCGAATCCTTTCTCAAGATATCGAGGCCTTCCACAACGCCCTCCAGGCCACCTGGCTGTATTTTGGGCTCATGCGGTTTGAGCAATCCTCGCTCCAGCAGTCCTTGGGCGACGGTGACCCACTTCCGCGCAAACTCGAAATCTTTCGTGTCCCCCGCCGCCAACTTCGCCCAGCCTTGGTCAAAGGGTTCGCCGATGGCGGTGTACGCCAGGGTGTGTGTGACCAGGACGTCCGTGCGGGGGAAGTCGACGGGGAGCAGACATCCGTATCTCAGGTCGCCTTCACCAGCGAGGGCGAGGGCATCGGCACAGATTTGGGCGCTACTTTGAGTGGATATGCAGTCCCACGCATAGCGCAGGTTTCCGGCGGTATATGACTTGATTGCCTGTGCGCAGTCGGGACGGCGGTAGTCGAAGGCGGCCACGGCACCGAGCGAAGAGACGTACTGGAAGTTGTGGGGGGAGCAAGTGGTGATGGGGAGGTATCCTGACCTATACCAAGATTCAGCATGGCGAGCAGGGAAGTACAGGGAGATGGTGGCTGGACACGCACGCCAGTAGTGACTGGATGCCCAATGCTCCTGAGGCTGCGGAATGGTCAGTATCTGGGAATCACTGCATTCAGAGTTCTGTCACAAACCTGTTGAACCACCGTAGACAAGCACGTATTGTCCCGTTGTTGTTTTGTTGATATCCTCCCCTTTGTCGTCCACTGGCAACTCAAGCCCCATCGCCTGATATAAACCCTGGCCCACCGTAAGAATGCCCACTCCTAGGGTAGCGGCTTCAGCAAAGGACATGTGCGTGGGTATCCTCAATTGCACATCTGCCTTTGCCACGATGTACTCGGCGAAAGCGCCGTCCTCGGGCTGGGATTTGTTGCCCCCGTGAGCCATCCCGCAAACTCGATCACCTTCTGCCCACGACGTTGAGCACTTTGATCCCACGGCCGCCACCGTCCCCGCGTAGTCGCAGCCACACAGAAGATTTGGTCTGTTGTGCCAATCAATGTGTTTCCAGTCGGTCGGATTAAGTGCCACCGCAGCTACCTTGACGAGAAGATATCCCGGGCGTAAGTTGGGCATAGGGCGATCTTCCACCAGCGCGGCCTTTGAGCCTCCTTGCATAACTATGGCCTTCATATTGAGAATGCCGCTGTTAATTTGCTCTCTACAAGGTTGATTTGAGGTATTAATCCAGACGAAGATGTTATAAACTGAAATTCTGAGACCGACCAATACTTCTCATAGCATCCCCCATGGGTCTGAAGAACCGTAATTGGTTCTGAGTATGGCATCGGATGAATAAACAGTGACGGTGATTGCGGTAGGATACTTTCACGTAACCGCTGTGGCAGATGGTGGGTAAATGGCCGAATGGAGAAGGCGTTTAGATGGGGCAAGTAACCGTAAGCTGCAGGGTCATGGTCTAGACGATGGGGTACATCGGCAGCATGGAAAGTTCCCTGTCTAAGGACATTACCCTGTTTGGAAATAAATGTACAGCTACTCGCAAGGCCTCAAGTCCAGAACGACTGAATTACAGGTTTTGGATCCCATTACTCTCGGAGCTGGTCCAATTTCTTGACCAGTACCAGATTTGGGTCGAGATTCGGATTCGAAAATAACAGCCTCAGTATCGCTCGAGACAAGACAGTAGTTATAACCATAAGCCAACAGGCCAGGATTACTCGGATTATATCGAACTTGGAAATAAATCTGCAAAAAACCCACTCCTTTTTAGCACCTCAAGGTATACCCGAGCCTGCTGGAGGATAATGTCGACCGTGGACGGGAATCATGACACAGCCTCGGCAGATTCGTCTATGGGAGAGACATCCACTGTCAGAGGAGTTCTGAACCTCCTCACACCGTCCTGTATCTTCCAGAGATGTCACCAACGTATTCTTCGCCTCCACCTTTGCAGCCGAGTCTCGCCAGCCCGATCGGGCTGACCTTCTGGTTCCTCGGACTCTACCAAACTACCTGCCAGGTTATGTTTGTCGTTGAGTTCCAGATTGGGCAGGAACCACACCATCACCATTGGAATCGCAGACGCGACCAACGCCGCGATGGTCATGAACCTTAGGATATCGGAATATGCATGGTTGACGGCGTTCCGTTCGCCTGTCCCTGACTGGGGTACCACAGCAGTGATGGAGTCGTAGACACTGTCGATCGCTGCCTGGGACGTCTCTGGGCCCATCCAGAGGCGCAGTCGCTCCTTGAAGAGGCTGGTATAGATGGTGCCGGCGATGGCCGAGCCGGCGCTGTTGCCCAGGTAGATGCACAAGAGTTCCAGCGCCGTGGAGTGCGCCAGCTCCGTCCTCGGGACCACGATCTGCGCGACGACGATAACCACCGTGCCCACGGCTCCACTCCCGGCTCCCTGGATGACTTGCATGACGATGATTTCGGCCATCGAGTTGTTGGCGCCGCGGAGGCGCATCATGAATCCGTACCCGATCAGTCGAATGACGATCCCGATCAGCAATAGCCACTTGTACCGCCTCGACCGGTACATGAGGAACCCCGTACCCAGCCCCGTCAGGACCTGCACGCACCCTGCCGTGTACGTTAGGAACGTGGCATTGCGGGGCGCAAGGTCATGGACCACCGTCGCCCACGCGTACAGGTACGTGTGCGTGACGCTGTAGGCAAAGGCATCCAGCAGCCCGATCAGGAAGGCGAGAGTCAGGGAGATGTTCTTGAACAGTCGTGGCGGCATGACAGGCTTCGTCGCGATGCGAGACTCGTAGTATATCAGTACAGCCAGGCACACCACTCCTGTCGCAATCAGGGTCGGAACCCACGGTGCACGCCAGCTACCCTTCGCGTTCCCGGCAAGCGCTATCGGCAGCAGAAGCATGCCACAACCGCCGCAGAGCAGCAGCATCCCGCCCAAGTCGATCTGGGCCGCGAAGCCAATGACGGAAGTTTTCCTCCGCACCTTTCCACCAGCTCGCTCCAGTCGGCGTTGAAACCGGATCAGGGGGCCGATGACGCTGAGAGAGCATACCGGCATGATGATCGCAAACATGCCTATCCCCCAGCGCCAGCCGATGTGGGCGAGCGCGCTGTCGACGATGAACGCCGAGCACCACGGAATCATCATAAAGGGCAGGCTGACGAGGCCGTTTGCGAGCCCACGCCACCTGGAAGACGTAATGTCTGCAACGATGATCTGGTTGAGGATTTGCATCCCGGTCTGGCCAATGCTGTAGACGATGTAACCTCCCGTGTACTGACCAAACCCGTGTGCAGAGGCACAGAGGATGTAGGATATGACATAGCAAACAATGACGGCGACATACGTCTCGGCCCGTCCGATAACGTCGGATATCTTGGCCAGAGGTGGCTTGAGGATCGCGCTGACAATTGTGCCGGCCGTCATCAGTGCCCCCAGGAGAGCAATCTCGCCAAAGTCCGAGGCCGCGTAGTTTTGATAGTTGTAGATTGTCGTATAGTCGAGCTCACTGCAATGCGCGTTAGCGAACACGAGCCGTCCTTTCCCGCCGGTCGGCTCACAAAATAGTCCACATGAGAGCTATGCTGTAATAGCCCATCCGTCAGCGGCAAAGCCCGTGAGATCCCCGTTCATGAGACATACCCCATCCACATCCAACATCTCCCATACCTTCCCCAAGCGGCATTCAGAATCTTCTGGCTCGAGCCTTCTTCGTCCGAGTCTCCTCTGACGCCGTCTTGATTCGTCTCGTTCTTCTCTTCGTCAACGACTGTAGATTCATTGCTCGTCGTTGACGTGCTGTAGTTGGATGGCATGCCACTGCCGGGCTTTTGGCTTTCACTTGGGGGCATCGCTCGAGAGGGAAGCCGGGAGGAGCAGAAAGCAAGAACGACAAACAGTCAGGTAGAACAGGCAATGGGCGGAAGAAGTGAACAAGAAGGAAAATCAACCCGGCGACAGAGCCCCAAAGAGGAACGACCGCTTGGGAGTGTCGATCAAACCCATCTATTGAGAGCACACACAACCAAACAAACGAAGCCAAAGAAATGCCATCACCGAATGCAACGCACGATCTGCATAGAAAATTCTGTCGACATGGTCCGTAGACAACATGGGAATGCTCCCAACGACTTACCAAGACGCCCACTCGTGGGGCCATCTCTGCTGTACCAGAGGGGCATAATGAGAGGACAATCCACGGTGGCAGCGATGTCGGAAAGCAGATTCGGTGCTCGAGCTTTCTGGTTGCAGCATACGAATCCGCTGTGGATTGATTCGGCTGTAACGTGAGGGAGGGAAAAAAAGGAGTCAATGATCCCCCCAGTAGACCCCAGACCGGAGGACTTTGATAATCTCATCAGATAATTCTCATCTAATCGAGATAAGATGATCACGAAGAGTTTTCGTGTCGTGGGCTTGTCGAGTTGCTGATCTGTCTTGGGAGCTGGGCAGCTTTGCATCCACAGCCCCAGACAAAGAGAGCAGTTGAGCATTGGCATTTCATCATTCGTGCAGTAGGCCGAGTCTCAGGTGGGCCACCAAGCTCCTAGAAGAGGAACGGGCCATCGATCATTTCAGAGAGGATGCAACGCCAGCCAGGGTCAGACGAGACACAAAAGCCCACCGCGGAAGGGAGTTGTGGGGCGATACAAGTATCGCAGTGTAGATACATCCTCTATTCATTCCGGCTTCGCGACCGACATTCAGAAGAGGAACAAGGAGGACGAGCGGGAGAAGAGGAGAAAAAAAGGGAGAAGGAATCCAAGCAGCCGAGAGGTCGATCAGACGCTCATGATCCACAAATTCCATAAGTGACGCCATTCCAAGGCTTGTCTGGCACCGTGTCTGGCGTTGAACGTTTAGTGATCAGATGTTGCATGCACTTTCGTTATGCTGATGTTGGATCATTGCCAGTTGCAAGAACTATTCTAGAGGATCTTGTAGTTGTCTATCCTGATGTTGTTCGCTCAAGCGAACAGTTCAGTGACGCCGCTCACGAACTCGACTTGCTAATGCCTGAGTAGTGGTTGATCCATGCAAAAATCTCTTGGTACCAAACGAGGCTGTTCTCGGGCTTGAGGACCCTAAGATGCGAATTGTCAGCCAGACATGCAAGCTCTCCAGCATTGAGGGCCCTTACCAATGGTTTTCGTCCGGGAAGGTCAGAAACTTGCTCGGGACGCCTCTCTCCTGCAGCAAGTTGAAGAGCATGATCCCTTCGGAAATCGGCAGTCTGTAATCTAGCTCACTGTGCACCACAAAGTGTGGCGTAGCCCACTTGTCGATATGGTTGATGGGATTCCACTCATCATAATCCTTTCGGTTGGCCCAAAGAGTGCCATTCATCTATCTTGCAGTTAGCCACAATCTTGGGAGTTGGTGGTGAACCTACATCATGTTGAATAAACCACAGCTCGTCAGTCGAATATGAGGCTGCAGTGTCTGTCACACCGTCATGTGTGACAAGAGCCTTGAATTTTCGGCCCAGGTCATGACCTTGGATCCAATTCGTCATATAGCCGCCGAACGAGCCCCCAGCTTCAATCCCGTTCTCGGTGTCGATATAGTCATATGTGCTGTTGACGTGCTCCCACACTGCAACGAGATCCTGATACGGAAAACTGCCCCAGTTCCCCTGAATGGCATTCTGAAAAGCCATCCCCCAACCGGTGCTTCCGGTCGGGTTCGGTGCCACGACGACGTAACCTTGATCCGCCCACACCTTGACATTCCACCCGGTGCTCCAGGCGTTATAGTAACCACCTTGTGGGCCACCATGGACAATGAATGCCAACGGGTACTTCTTTTTCCGATCAAACCCTTCAGGGTAAATCATCCAGCTCTGTACTTGGGCGAAGCTACCCATAGTGTAGAATTCAGACACATCCTTCGGCCCCAGGCCTGCGAGCTCTGGGTCGACTTGGTTCGCCTGGAAGAGGTTGGAGACAAGACTTCCCTTGGGACCAATAACGTAAAAGTCACGCGAAGACCAAATCTTGGAATCCGACAGCAGGATATTGCCGTTGGGCAACACATAGAACGACACAACAATCCCGGCATTTGTGATATTTGTAGGCTTAAACCCCGCTCCAGCCGTACGGGGAATTTGGAACAAACGTTCGTTTCCCAGATCAGGCGCCACCACAAAAAGGGAAGTGCCGTCGGCAGACCATCTGAGCTGGTCGGGAGTACTATCCCAGTTCTCTGCCAGGTTGGTGATGTTGAAATTACTGGTATTGACATTGGCGACGTAGATCTTGTTCTTGTCAGCCTCGTAGGAGATCCCGTCCATCTGGAAGTATGCAATCTTGGTACCGTCTGGAGAAAATAGCGGATTTGCTGATGCCCCCCTGGCACTCGGGGGCGTTGTTTTCCCAGAGAAGGCATTGATCGGGACAGCCGGCGAAGAGCCATTGTGAGGAGCGAGATAGATCTGAGAGGATGTGTAGTTTGACAATGGCAGGTCGATATTCTTTGTCAAGAAAGCAACCATGGATCCGTCCGGGGTGATATCATAGTCGCTAGAATCACCAAAAGGCTGAACTGGACTCTCCGCGCGGGTCACGTTGGAAATGCCCGTCACAAGATTCTTCAAGTTTCCACGCAGGGAGTACTTGTCTCCCCCAGCCAGCGTGCCAGCGAAAACGGCGTATTTCCTTTCAGTAAGCCAAGTATCCCAATGGCGGACGTAGATGCTGGTGTAGATTCTCGCTGTGCTCAACGGCGTTTCGGCCATCGCCTCGTTATAAGCTGTCCCATTTGGCCACGCTAGACAATTCAGGAGGAAGTTTACATCGCCAGAAGGGGTGACTACCGCCTTCAGTCCAGAATATGGAGCGGGGAGCGATGTGATGAGGTACCTATCAGTGTCAATGGAACGTAGTTCTGATTCCTCACCAAGGGGGACACACGCTTCATCAATGGCATTTACGTCACCAGCATAAAGGCCAATGCCACCATTGTCTTCTTCGTTGGTGCGGTTGATGTAGAGAATGCTCGTGTCGGTCGGTCCGACCCAGACCATCTCTGAGATATCGGACCCATTGTAGAGCAGGGAGATTTCACCAGTGGTCAGGTTCATTAGCTGCCATACCGTCTCTGCCTCATGAGTCTCCCATGAATAGCTAGTTGCACTAAAAACACCCAGTTCCTGTCGGACAAGCATCAGCCTTGTCATACCAACCTCAGGATCGACTTACTCCCGAGGGATTTGGGACTAATGGGCTGCGTTGCGGCGCAGCGAGCATCTGTCTGGGATAAGTGTCAGTGGATTCCAGTGCATTGTACCTCTGACTTGAACTGACTCTGGCGTGATGGATAGAACAAACGGCAGAACAGCTATTGCTGCTGCCACAGTTCTTAGTGTGAACATTTCCAAGATTTGTGTTCGTGGGAGAACAGTGGTACGCTCTCGTCCCTCTCAGGTGCAAGAGATTCGGGCTAAGTATGATAGTTCTCTGACGAGGTTGAACGTTGCTGCTTGATAACTGCATCAAACAATTCCATTTACTCCACCATCCGCAATCTCCTGCCGCATCTACTCGAGCAGTTAGCCACGTTGCATACGGCGGGTACCGATAACACTCGTATTGTCCAATCAAGCACGTCGCTGGAAGAGAGTCACGTTAATCTTGTTGTAGAGACATTGGTTGACAGTGGTGGTGAGACGTAGGGCTGCGACTAGACTGGGGACTAAGACAGAATCCGTGTGAAAATATCCCTATAACACCAATTGCTCTCAAAGCTTGTCACGTTCCAGAGGTATATATTGGAGAACAATACGGAAACCTTGTTAGCATTCAGGCTGGAAATATTAGCTGGCCCGGAACTGATGCCAATTGAGAGCTCCTTGAGCAAGTATTTCACAGACATGAAGCTTTCGGTTGTACCAGGAAACTTTCCCAGGCTTTCGGCATCCGTTAGCTTTCACCTGGGCATCGTGGTGGTGCAAAACGAAGTTGCATTGTGTGCTCATCGGCCGCGATTTGTGCTTCCCTGGCAATGGATTGCGATGGAGCGACAAACCTGTAGCCGACCGGCGGAACATCCATCATCATAGATGGCGATGGGGCGGAAGTTCCCAGTTAGTATTGCGTAGGACTACGGAAAAGCTTGGAGGTAGAAGGTTGAAGGTTGTTGAAGGTTGCTGAAGGTTGCTGAAGGTTGGAGGTTGAAGGTTGAAGGTTGCTGAAGGTTGGAGGCTGAAGGTTGAAGGCTGAAGGCGGCATCGAGCTCAAATATGATCTCCGTGCCAAGACCTTGGCATCTGCCTGTCACGTGCCGTGCATTTTTCCAGATGTTTTTCCGCTTCCGAAGCCTCTCGTCCTCACCACAAAGGAGAATTGAATATTGATAGCATGTCGCTCTCCCAGTCGGACGTGGCGGACATTAACACCCTCTCGCGCTATCTGGCCTGCTTACAAGTCTCTTCTCTCTACACATGTCCCAAGGTTGATGTCGTGGCCTTGTGCGGCAACGCAATCCTACCCATCGCCGATAATGTCTTCTCGGCTTTGGAGGCGCGCCCAGACCTCACCAAAGTCCTAGTCATCAGCGGCGGAATTGGACATTCTACTCGCTTCCTCTACGAAGCCGTTCGAGCCCATGGCAAATATTGTCGTCTGGCCGACATGATCGATGGACTGCCTGAGGCTGCCGTCTATGAGCTGATTCTGACCAAGTATCACCCCAACCTCGTGGAACGAATCAAGTCGGGTCAGATGAAATGCATTATTGAAGCCAATTCTACTAATTGCGGAGCCAATGCCATTGAGACGCGCCGGGTCCTCGAGCTACACTCTGTCCCTACACCCAGATCTTGCATGGTTGTCCAGGACCCTACCATGTCGCTGCGCACGCTAGCTGCTTTTCAGCGAACTTACCAAGACGTCGAGCCTTCGCCTGAGTTCCTTGCCTGTCCGACCTTCATCCCTATAGTCTCTCTTGACGACAAGGGCACGTTACATCTCAGCGCAGAAGAAAATGGCTCGACATCAGATATCGATTCTTCCGGTCTTTGGGATGTCTCTCGTTTCTTTGACCTGCTGATGGGGGAAGTTCCTCGGATACGGGACGACAAGGATGGGTATGGCCCGAAAGGAAAAGGCTTCATTGTTCACGTTGATGTTCCAGAGGAAGTGGAGGCTGCCTGGGCACGGCTCAGACCATTTCTGCACTTCAACCGGTGAAAGCTCTATCTTGGGACTTTACTTGGCTACAAACTAGCACTGCTCCTTAACCCTTGCTCGAGCCCGCCGACGTCTTCTGAGGGGACAGCCTTCCGTCCTTCACAACATTCAGCACATAGCGGTCTTCCTGATCCATTGACTCCAGTTCGGTTGTCGAAATGCAACGTTGTGCCTTTCAGGTGCCGAACTCTGCAACATAGCCCTTCATCACCACACCATATCGAGATCCAAGTCTTCCACCGACCACAAGACTGTTGCTGGCTTTCCCGATCTCAAACTTCATCCCACCAAGACGGGTTGCCTCGTCCGCTCTGCCCTTCGTACTTTTGCCGGCGATGGGAGGCACAGTCTTTGGTTTGTCCAGCCACTGTGCGGTGTCTGTGACCCTTGCACGGTTTGTTCTTTTTTGCGTGCTTGCAAAGATTGTCCTTGGTGACCATGGCGCCTTTACAGCCTGCGTTTGGACAGTGATGGTGGATTCGGATGGTTTCGCACATGGTGAGTTTAGGTAGGCTGGTTAAGGCTGACTCTGCGGCTTAAGAGGCGCGGGTGTGCTGGGGGGCTGACGCTGTTTGGTGGTGTTGCTTGCTGGGCCCGATATCTTGTTAGGAACCGGATGGTGAAGGGCTGGACGACTTGAAAGATTAGACGGCAGTCTATGTCATTTATGTCCTTACTCTGAGGCCCTCCCTGCATCTGTCATGACACCGCCATTGTGCTGTTTGCCTACGCGCAGCTGAGGGCGGACTTCCGCCACAGTGGTTGTTGGGAGAGCAGCCGCCAACGTCAGAACAGGCACACCCATTTGGGGAGGGAGGGGGTTGTTCTTCGCAAATTTTTCACAGCTTACGTCTTCCCAGTCTCGTATGGGTACCCGTGGGTGACACGAACCAGACTTTTCAAATTCGAGGGCTGCGGGTGTTTGCTTCTCTCGTTTCGGCCACAGACCACCAGAGCAAACTCGGTAACGGATCGGTGGCGGTGAGGGAGCCCGTACCATTGGCCAGAGCATCGATCTGGTCCGACCAAGTTTACGAGGTGAGGAATTCCTTTTCCGTGTTTGCCTGGCGAGAAGACACCTACATCCCTGCTGATCGCAAAACCAAAAACTCAGGAATCCAAGTTTCAGAATTCATAATCATGTCTCATTTCGTCATCTCATAATGCGATAATTACATGCGGTTGTAAGAGCATAGAACAAGGGTATCTGCATGTGGAAGAACAAGCATTAGAAGGAAAGCCGCACGCACACACATCTCCACGCAATTCGTCAAATGACCTCTTCCACCGTCCCCTCTCTGACCTCGCCACTTGCCGTCCTCACCAAGGGAATGCAGAAGGATTAGGAGTCAGGCACTCTTGGCCATGACCACCAATCCCGGGAAAATGCAAGATAAAAACCTTGGCCTCTCAAATTCCCGTGACGACTGGGCGACAACCCGCATCATCAAGGTTTCCACCAATGAAAAGGAAGAGCGGGAAGGGATCTTGCGTGTCTTGCAGCGTCCTTCCATCATGAAACGCCAACATCGATCCTCGCGCAGTTGGCGATGGTTGATCGCACTCGTTGGTGGAACCCGCCATCTGCAGCGGTGTCATACAACTCGCTAATCTGCCGGGGTAACATGCCTACGCGGCTGATTCGCTGCTTGACTGCTTCCTTGGCAGGGCCCAGGGCATTGGCGATCCCATCCGCCCCGATCCGGAGATTGTAGCAGATGAGCTTGTCATGCTTGACGCCAGGATAGTTCTCGGACGAGGCTGCCACGGAGAACTTCAGCTTGGAGTTGGCAAACGCAATGGCCGCCGAAGGCGTGAAACAGTATTGCTCCAGAACTTCGGCTTGGATGGCTGACATGTCGGGTTCGGGTTCGGGTTCTGAGTCCCAGCAGGGAGAAGAGCACAAGCTCGACGGCGTTGAGATGGGTGAGGAGCTGCCGCTGGAGATGGAGCTTCGGGGGGAACAACGAGGCGACCGAGGCGACCGAGGGGACCGAGGTGACCGCGGTGAGCGAGGGGAAGGAGGTGCATTCATGTCGGCATCGAGACCGTCAAAGGCCAGCGCCAAGGTACGGAAATGTGAAGATGAGCAAGCGTCCAGTGTTCGGGCGTAGAAGCGGGTCTCCAGAGCCCTGAGACGGGGCAGACTGCCCACACAGGTGTCGACGAGAGTGATGTGGTCCTTGAGGATCGCATCGGCGTCGGTGCTGTCGCCAAAATCGACCGCTATGTGCGTCAATGACGACTTGATCAGAGGATGGATGTCTGGGTCGGCCAAGAACGCCAGAGCATCTGCTGACGACCGGAATACCAACGCGTTGAGACTGTAAAACAACGTGATGGCCTCGGAGCGGATCAGCTGGCAGGTATCCAAGAATCCACGAGGGTCGTCTTTGGCGGGTCGCGATGGGCGGAGTCGTCGTTGGGACGGACACCTCAGCCTCAGTGGTTTCGACTGTTCGAAGGCGAATTTATAGATGAGATTCCTGACCTCGGGAGGAAGGTTCAACAGCATGGATGACATGTCTGGAGCTGCAGAAGAAGCCATGGTTGTCGCCCTTTGCCGGTGTTCTTGTTGTTTCGGTATCCAAGGGAATCGTCTGGGTTCAACCAGTTGAACCCGATGCTGAGAGAAAGGTGAGAAGAAAAAAAGAGCTAAGGACGTTTTGGCCGTTGAAAGGGGGGCTTCAGGTATTCAGCGCGCTGACCGGTCTCTCTGGGCTACAGGAATAACAATAATGTCGTCGAGAAATAATGGGAATCCACCAGGGTCTGTGCTATCGAGTTGGTGGCGTCTTGGGCGCAGCCTCTGCACGGCGGTTCAATAATGGGATCAAACGAGGCGTAGGGGAGGGCAGCCCGGGGCCAAATTGTACAGGCTACTAAATTAAGAGTCGAGTCGATCCCGCAATCTCGTCAGAGCATCAGAAGCGAAAAATTTGTGCGTTGTGTACTCTCAGTCAAGAAGAAAAATGACGGCGGGCTTTCCACCATGAAAATCCGGGGAAGTTCGACGGAGAAAGAAGGATAGATGGTTTTCCAAGCTCAGATAGTTGGGTTGAAGAGCGAGAGTATGTTCCAGGGAGAGGAGTTGACGTGATGTGGAGAGCGGGTGGCAGGAGCAGGCAAGTTTCGAGCGAGAGACTCAGGCTGAAGCGGATGGAGTGGGAAGTTCAAGAGGAAAAAGGGAGAGGTTGGTGATAGATGGCGTCCTCGGTAAGTTCTTTTTACATGAGACAACCTTCTTCTGATGGGTGACGCTGGCTGGGCTGGGGTGGAGGTTGCCGTCTGGTAAACTAGTTCGCTCGCGGTGGTTGGTGACACGATTGCCCTCGCTGCCCCTCGCAAGAAGAAGCTCGCAGATTGGGGCGTTTGACTACTTGCGGTGGTTTCTGATAGATTTTCTGTTTAATTGACATGGGACCTGGCATGGCGCAATGTCTCAGTTTAGCCCCTTGTACCGTGGCCTCGTACCAGGAGAGGCAGGGCAAATCTGGGCTATAGCAGGTTTAGCGGGCCCCCGGCCGGGAAATTGGATTCAAAGGTACCTGCGCAGTGGAGACCGGGGTGGCTACGGAGTCTGGGCCAATGGCGATGCTGGGATAGCGGAGCCTCTCTGCGTCCGGACGCTGTGAGTGGCCGAGGAGGTTCGAGGCTTGGGCGCTAGTGTCTTGCTAGCGGCTCTTAGCGAAGATATTAATATCCGTAGTCTAATGCAAGCCACAAGGCACTGCTGGCTCTCGGCCAATCATTCCGTGCTCCCTGACGACCGCCCCAGCCACGGCCTTGCCAGAATCCCTGATCCAGCGAAAGGTTCCTCTTCCTCAGGCTTCCGCTGGCTGGGCCCCTGTCCGTTGTTGGCTGGTTGCTTCGGACTATGGCTTGCTACGTCACTCGTGACCACATTCCGATAAGATACAGTACACACCCATGCCCATGGTCACACACCAGCCCGGGCAGATCCAGATTCCAAAAGTGTGATTGTCCGCTGCGCACATCATCCGATCATTGGTGATACTCGGTCTGTCTGGGGGTGCTACTCTGTAACGGACTCGGTAGGTATGTATTATTGCACGTGTGCCTACAACAAAGCCGCCCCGGGCTACCGGATTCAATACCTCGCAATTGGGAATTCTCATGCCATCATCACCGGTAGAAATTCCCCTCTCTTTTTCCATCTGAAAGATTCGTGTGCTACAAGGACCACACACCCCCCCATCTTTGTTCCATTTTAGACTTTCAACGCCGTCATCGTACTCACCCCCTCAACGCCTTCCCCGCCCCCCGAGGCGTACTCGTGTTTCTCGTCTTGAGCCAATACCTTGGCGGTTAACTCGTGTCTCTGTTTCTCGGTCGCATCCGCAAAATGTACCACCACTTCATCGCCGAACAAGGCGTTGATCTCTTCCAGCGACTTGCCGCGAGTCTTGTCAGAGGAGTCAGCCAAATATCCCACCACCACCAAACATAGAGCTCTTTCTTACCTCGGGACACCAAAAGTAAAAGATCCAGATGTTGACAAAGGTCAAGCAGATGAAGACGATATAGTACTTCCACTTGATGTTTGCCAAGGCGGTCGGCGCAGCCTCGACGTACACCAACGTCGAGAGAAACGTTCCGGCGAGCGACCAGGCCACGCCCTGAGATCGGATTGTGGTCGGGAAGATCTCGGCTGTTGATGCAAACCCGAAAATATGCATGTCAGCGCAATCCGGGGATGCAACCTTTTTTTCTGCGAATTCCGATATGGGCTCGTGGCAAGGGAGAAAAAAACATGACAAAGGATGCATGCGCCCGCCAGCCGGACACGGGTCTTACATGCTTAGAGGCCGCTTCACCGGACCAGCGCGCTGGGATGCCGGCATGGAGCGTTCACGGCCCCTCTCCGTTCAGGGCAAACCCGTTACACCACGTTTCTATTGCTGGCGGCAAGGAGGAGAATTTCATGCATGGAAGGTGAGGAGAAAACGGGAGAAACCAAAAAAGCCCACTTACAGCAATAAACATAGCCAACCACATCAATGCCGCCTCCGTAGAAGCTGATGAAGCAGAAGGAGAAGAACACCCCCATCGAGAGGCCGGCCTTGTTGGTGGTCCCAGCATACTCGGCTATCATGGCGGTTTCCAGGCACACCGAGAGCATACATCCGGTGAGCCCGGCAACTATGTTTAAGCGACAAACGTCCTTTCAGCTGCGGTTCCATCCCGGAGTCGCACAAAAGGGAAGCGGGATCCCGAAGGGAAAGATAGGAGTTGGAACTTACGCAGAAGTGGTTTTCGTCCTACTTTGTCCAGCAGCAGCGCCCCAGTAAAGTTGGAAATGGTTGCGACGGTGACATAGGCTGCTCCCATGATCAAGGGAACTCCGCCGGTGAGTCCAAGATTCTGGTACAAGGAGACAATGTATACTGACAAAACAACAGAGAGTCAGCGGATGCCCTGAGATTGACACTGTGTAGCCTTGTTTTGCAACGAATTGGGCTTACCGTAAATCACCTGAGCACCCGTCGACTGAGCGGCATACTGGATGAAGAAACCCATCCAGAAGCGCTTCCGGTAGGTCTTGTTTGTGAACATGCCGCGCCATCCCCCTTGTTTCCATGCCGTGGCGTCTACTCGGACCTGTTCGGTCATTTGGTAGAATTCTTCGCGCGCGTACTGGAGGGCTCCTTCGTCCTCGGCTGCGCCACCGTGCAGGCGCTTGACGATGTTCCAGGCCTCCTCGCGTCGGTCTCTCGTGAGCACTGGTCAACGTGTCAGTGGTTTGGGGGCGGCCGCAACAAGGGCGAATTGTGCCCAAAAATGTGACTTACGCCAACGAGGGGATTCGGGGATCCAGGGAGCGCATATCGCCAATGCAAGGGGCGGTATGATGGACAAGGCAATGGGAAACCGCCACTGGAAGGACAGGTTCGACGAGTAATACGTCCCTGCGCCCACCCAGCCGGCAATGGCATATCCCAAGACAATCCAGGTCCCGTGCTGCCCAACGAGAAACCCTCGAGCATTGGGAGGCGCTGATCTCCACGTTAGCAAAACATGCCGCCCAAACTGCTGCGAAGCGGCCAGAGAGGGACGTACAGATTTCAGCTTGGTAGATGGGGATCAAGACCACCATCATGCCGATCCCCCAACCTGAAATGAACCGCGACACAAGGAACATGGCCATGTTGACGGAGCCGGTCTCGAGGGCTCCGCCCACGACATTGACGGCCGACGCCAAATACATGGTCTCTTTTCTGCCACGGGCCTCACACATCCAGCCCACATGAAGCGCCCCAAACAGCGCTCCTGCACAGTATAAGCCATTGATGGTGCCGGTGATGGCGTTGGTGTAGTCCGAGTTGGCTTTGAGGTTGAAGTATTGAATGAATCCGGGCTGACCTATGGTGTTGGAGATGACCGAAAAGCCATACCCAAAGGTCAGACTGCCCAAGGTCAAGACCAAGATGATGCGCAGATTGTAGAGGGTGTATGTTCTGGCCATCTTTGACGCAGGCACCGGCGAGAGAACAGAAGCGAGTCCGCAGGAGATGATGGCTGATCCTGCAGCTGGAGGACTGTGGGGTCTCCACGCATTGATATATACATGTTTTCCATTTAGTACTGCGGGTCTACGCACAACCGCAACATTATTGTCGTGGAGAGACCTTTTGGGTAGAGAGTATGACGCCCACTATGCTTTAGCCTATACCGGGCTTACTCGGTTATCCAGGCCCGATGATGACAATATCGTCTTGGTCGTTGTCGCGAGACGAGCCATAACATGGCTTTTTGCGCAGAGATTCTTCTCTACAAACTGCTCCTCTGGGTATATTCCCTTCAAAGTATCAAGGTGATTTGTCACGCCATCTGTGGGGTCATAAGAAGCTGCTATGCAGGCGTTAACGTTGCGTCGTGCGCATCACGGCGTGTGAGATATGTCTCCAGGGATCTATTGGAGAGGCCAGCCCAGACCTTGGCAACAGGGGGAAGGGCAGAGGGGCTTTGATCGCCGTCGATCTTCTCTCCATCCTTCTCCAACTTTCACCTCGAAAATCATTGCCGATATAATGCCAGACAGACAAGATCCTGGTAATGCTGGTGCTGTGTACGTGGAAACACGGCATAGACTTTAGCGCCGCCCCCGTCAAGCGCATGGTCGGTGGGAGTTGGAGCTCGCTGGGGATTCTCCTAAACCAGAAGTCGAGATGAGTATTTCTGCACGAGCCATGCATTCAGGCGGAGGCGGAGGAAGACCCGAGGACGGGCAGTGGCCAGAAAAGAGGGGGAATGGGCGTCAACTCTCCTCTACAGGCCAGAACAATCGATGTGTCTCTTGCTCGACAGGTGCGAGGCTCCGAGGAGGGGTATAGACTCTCTTCCATGCAGGTGCCATCGACGGCCATCTCGACATCTACGCCTTGGATCAGACAAGCTCTCATCGACCACCCAGGAAACGAATATCAAACCACCCTCGGTCTACTCCGTAGCCTTACGGTAAATCTCGGCGTCGATTCCGCGCTGCCTTATTACCCCGACCTCGTTCTCGCCCACAATCATTATTCAAAAGGAACAGCGCCTGGCCAATTTCCGGGGCCATAGCCTATGACCCCTTCTCCCACCCTCTCGACCACTGCCGAACATGACTCCACCAGTAATGGATCAACCGCATCAGACCTCCTCGACGCAGCGAGGGCGCCCTCGACAGCGCTCGGCCGTCGCCTGTACCTGGTGCCATTCCAGGCGCGTGAAATGCAATGCCGCTGCAAAGGGAACGCCCTGTTCCAACTGTGAGGTCGCTGGGCGCAACTGCATGCTGATTGAGAGCAAAAGAGGCAAGAAGCGGAAGGTGTCGACCTCTCCCTCTGCGGCTCCACGCGACCTGTCGAGCATTGCCCAAGCCTCCTCTACAGAGACGAACCCAGGGCATGGCAACATCTACGATCCCCTCAAGGGCGTGAGGAACCCGCCCAAGAATCTGCAGGAGAGCCGGCCTCGAACGGCGTCCACCTCCACGTGTGTCCCTGACAAACCTGATCTGGCACAAGACTCGCAGGAGACTCTCTATGCCCAGGTCCTTGACAAGGCCACCGATACGGGCATGCTGCCTGAGGTCAAAGAAGGCGTCGTCCATGTCATGTACATGGGAGAAACCTTCAACTTGACGCACCTGTTGCGCCAGACTAATCCTGACTCTGCCCGATCTACGCGGAAGAGACATTACGTGGTTCGATTCAACCCCAAGAATCGGACCGACAGTGCGGTGGAGGAAGAGGACCATGTGCTCACGTCGTTCCTTCAGCATCAAGGCTGCTTCACGCTCCCCTCCGTCCACACTTGCTATCAGCTGTTTCAGACCTATTTCGAATATGTCCATCCCCACTATCCCATTATTGATCGCGAAGACTTTGCTGCCCAGTACACTGATCTCAAGAACCCAGCCTCGTATCTCCTGCTGCAGAGTGTCTTGTTCATGGCTTCGGGACATTGCGACCTGTCCGTCCTCCTGGACGCGGGGTTTGAATCGAGATATCACGCTCGGAAGACGTTCTTCCAGCGAGCAAAGGCTCTTTACGACAACGACCATGAGCCGAACAAGGTTACCGTCGTCCAGGCCGTGTTCCTGATGAGCTTTTGGTGGAATGGACCGACGGACCAAAAAGACACATGGCACTGGCTGGGCATTGCGATTAGCCTTGCGCTGACGCTAGGAATGCACCGATCAACCCAACACTCGGACATGAAACCAAAAGATCGGTGCCTGTGGAAGAAGATCTGGTGGTCGCTCTTCGCCGAAGACAAGCACGCCGCAACGGCGCTAGGCCGACCAGCCCATATCCGACAAAAAGACTGCGATGTTGAGCCCCTCGACATCACCGACTTCGACGAACCTCCCGTCTCAAGATCGGACATCTTCGGCACTCCTGAACGGGTCGACGGGCTCTATGTCATTGCGCTGGTCGAGCTTTCCATGATTGCCGAGAGCATCGTCGAGAGGTCCTTTACCGCCTTCAATGCCACAACTTCGGACAACGCTGATATGTTTCAGTCCTGCTCTCAAGCGCTGGAACAGTGGAAGTCGGGGCTTCCGCTCGAATTGCGGATTGAATACACCAGTACGTGTCTCTGGACGAGCATGCTGCACATTGCACATAGGTAAACGCCCTCTCAGCGAAACTGTTCCATTCCTCTTAACTAATATTTTGCGCGACAGTTGGTTTGAGATTGTCACCCACCGGTCCATCTCACCGCAGAATCTGTCGCCGCCCTCGATGAAGACGGCTCACTTTCTGGCCATGGACGCGGCGAATCGCATGGTCCGCATTGTCGAGGAACTCCTCTCACAGTCCCACATTCTGCACTGCCCAATCCACATAGTCCCAGCACTGTTCGCCGCCATGGGGATGCAGGCCGTCGACATCTGCTCCGGCCAGTCGATCCTGGAACAGCTCGGGGTCGTCAAGGTCAGACTGGCGATGATCGCGCTGCGAGAGCTGCAGAGCACCTGGCCCGTGAGCGGCTGGATTTTCCGCCTCTTCGCAAAGATTGTGCGCAGGATCCGCAACGGCGACGAGCTGCTCCCCAACGAGCCTGTCAATGCTTCACCGGTTCAGATGAAGAGCCACGAACCCACCAACGAAGGTATAAGTCCAGCGGCACAGAGTCAGATGATCGACGCGGAGCAGCAGCAGCAGCCACAGCCAGCATTGCTCAACGGCAAGGCTCAATATGGACAAGACCCAAGCCTCACGCAGATGTACGCGATGTCGACCAATCCAGCGGGTCGCTACCTCTTTCCTGAAGCGTCGAACCTGGCTATGCCAATGAGCTATCCAGCAGATTGGGGGACCATACTCGACGACGGAGCATGGGCCGACTTGGAGTACGAATTTTGAAAGAGTCGAGATTGTCAAAGAAGACGCCAATAGCGTGTGTTGTATACCCTCTGGAACAACGAGTTATAAGATACATATCGCATTGGGGGGACTGGCCACTCCGCCCGGGAAATTGAGGGGCGCGCTGGTGAAGAGGAAGCTCCATTTGTTCAGCCTCTTGCACGTCTCCGCCAACTCGTCCAGATCGAACATCTCGCCGACCGGCATGCCAAACAGGGCGATCAGGTTGTCGTGAAGGCCTGCCCAAAGCAACAACGGTTTCGTCAGTATCACGGGCGACAAGAGGCATTGAGCCCGGGTCTGGTTGTTTGCTTGAACTCACGCCATCTCTCCTCCGTCGCCGGCCACGCCTCAAAGACGTTCGCGTCACCGCCCACGGCCGCGAAGTGGCGGTTCCAGAACCACGCGACCGACTCTCTGGTGCCCTCGACCCCCGCCCACGCGGATCCGTCCGCCGTGCCTCGCCTCCGGTCTGGCGCGCTCGCCTGCTTGTACCAGGTCACGAACCCGGACCGGATCAGCAGGATGTCGCCCGGGCGGAACTCGGTGCCCTGCCACGCCGCAACGGCCTCGAGGTCCTTCTCCGAGATGCAGTGCCGCTCGATGGGCGAGTATTGGATGCCCTGGTGCGCGGCCCAGGACAGGTAGTCGAGCAGGATGCCCCGGCCAACGATGCCGCCTCGCCTCGACCACTCTGGGAGATCGCGTCAATCCTGACATTCAGCTGTCCTGAGGCATGAGGGTGAAATGTGGTGGAATCTCCAAACTTACCATCGATTCCGTTCCGGGCTTCAGCATCCGGGTCTGTGATTTCTTTGTGCGTCACGCCGTTGTAATACAGCCCGGTCGGCTGATGCGCCCAGTGTCCTGTTTTCGGGGGAAACAACTCCTCGGTCAGCTACCGCAATCCCATGCCATGAGAATCACTCCACTCTTCGAAAGACAGGAGGGCCGCTGTCTGGCAAGGCCAGGGCAGGAAACTGATGATGACAGCACTCACGAAAGCCGTCCCATTGACTCCCGCTCTGGGTGTTCATCCACACCTCGTCGTCATGGCCGATCCACTCGCTCCCGTCCTGGGCCTCGGCCAAGGTCATGATCTTGTGCCGCGGCGGCCGCCGGTTGGAGTGCGGCGTCTGGCAGTTGTCGAGGGACCAGTTGATCGCGACGCTGACGCCATGCTGGATCTCCGACCTCGCGGCCACCACGGCCGACGGGGTCAGGAGGTTGAGCGTGCCGAGGTCGTCCTTCTTGTGCCTACGCTGGTGCTGGTGCCGCCGCTGCTGCTCGTGCCCGCCGTTTGCCGAGTTGGAGTCGGTGTTGCAGTGTCCCGGTTTGCGGTGGTCGTCCTCCTGATCCCATAGTCCCCAGGTGCAGCCGTGGGGCATCCCCGCGACGGGCGGCAGGGAGTCGTACGACGGCATCCGCAGGACCCCAGCACCGGTGGCATGGTCGTCCATGAGAGCTGGGCCGTTGTGCGGACCTGCTCCATCACATTCCCCGTCGTCGAGTGAGTTGTGGTTCGACGGTGCTGAGATCTTTTGCGCCGGCATGCCGAGAATGGGGGGACTCGGCCCCTCTATCAACAAGGACTTACACGAAAAATCTTCGAGACTTTGGACGATATCAGCGACAAGCGATGGAAGACGTGTTTGCCAGCTTAAACCAATTTATTCTCGCAATCTGTTAGCACTGTCGCTGGTGCTGGTGCTGGTGCTGGTGCAGGTATTCGCACTCCAAGGACGGTAGCAAGGACGATGGTGCACAGGGCTGTAGTAGGTCTGTAGTTATGTACCTCGTATGTATGTAAGTTGAAATAAGTTTGATGAATAGTTATATGTAGATAAGCCGAGTAAAAAGTGAACCGAGAGACAGACAGACCTTTCCCACCCGATCCCGGGTGATATAGCCTGTACTCGGTATACCGACCGTGTTGATAGGGTGATGTGGTATCTACTCTGCCCTAGATACCGATCAGAAACCAGAATACCTACCTACCTCACTCCCATCCTATCTCCCTAGCCGATAGCTAGGTGCGCCGGTCCGGCACATTTGTGTAGCCTGGTCATGTATCCATCGTGTATTGCATACCCGGGTCTGTCTGGCATCTGCCTGCTTACCTAGGCAGATATCGACCCCTACCGGCCTACGTATCTACGTATCTACCCGCAGCGGAGCGGAGTTGCTGTGGTGTCATTGGGATGGAATGGGGCTCTGTGCTGGCCTCGGGGTCCCGGGGGGGCTCTACATCATGGCGTGCATGACTACTACTGACGTACATAGTTGGCTTTCCTCAGTCCCAGGACCCACGGTACGTACCACCAGCACCACCCCTGAGGTGTGTATGTGTGTGTTTATACCTTCCGAATGTAGGGAAAGGGGCCCCGATAGATCCTCATCTCCAGCATCAATTCCGCACACGCCGCCCGCCATCCACCTCCTCTGAAGCGAGTCTGGCGGCCTGGCAGGCTATGCATATGACGATGCCATACTCGAGGACCCAGGCACGGAGTCGGCTATGCCCATGTATGTCGACGGTCATGGCCACGGCTTGCTTATGTCCATGGGCCAAGAAATATGGGATATGGCGAAGGCTATGGGGGCAAGGCTATGGTATGTGGTCACCTTCTCGTTGATAGCCGATTGGAACCGCGAAAAGAAAGGAAAAGGAAAAAAAAGGGGGGGGGTGGGCGGTGGGGTGGTGGGGGTTGAACGAGGCTTGTCACTCCCACTCCCTGTGGTTAGGACTCATGCGTAGAAGAGGGACCGGAATCCGTCCACGGTCCATGGAGAAACTAGAACTTACGGGTATGCCGTGTCTGAACGGACACCGAAGGCTATACTGAGGAAAACCAAATGAAGATGCAGGGTCCGAAGTGATGGGCGGAGGGAGGGCTGTAGGCTTTCACTCAACACTTCCTCCTTCAGCCTCGTGCAGCTCCCCACACATACCGAGATAACGATGCCCATTCCGATAGCAAGAACCCAAGAGCAAAATTTTCCCGTCCCGTGTACCGGCCAGCGTCCACTAAACGCCCCCATTGGGCGCACCCGTACATAGATAGTATGTCTGATTGGAAATCATAACAGCAAAATCTTGTCACGCCCGCCGGCTTTTTGTATCCTGCATTTCTGGCACAAATATTTGCTTATAACTCTAGATCTTGGGATCAGCTTCTTCCGATGCATGTCTCGCATAGCATGTCAGCCTCCCCCGTGAAAGAAATGGCATGGATCTCGCCACGCATCTTGGGTTTGTCAAAGGGACCGGCATGGAGTTTCGGCTTTGGGTCCTGACGCTCCAGATGAGCAGGTGATGCTCGTCTGAGAGGAGACGAGAAGACCACTGAGCGTCAGCATGACTTTCACCGTAGTCGAATTACCCTGAGCGCAGCAAGCCCTCTCACTACAAGTGGTGAGTACGGCGCGTGCCCTGCCGATGTTCGAGTCGAGTCGTGTTTGGATGAAAGCCAAAGGTGACAACCGGCGAACTTGCCAATCCGAAGATTGAACCATATATTTCGTGGCCATGTTGTGGCATCGTCTCCATAATCGTCTTCAGTCCTTGCGCAACGGAAGGATGGCGCCTCCATTGGACTTGGGCTCTGTCTCGACCTTTCCTGTGACGATTCCTTCAAGCTTGGCCGTGATTCTTGCAAAAAGCGGCTCCAATTTCAAATTCCAGAAGTGGCTTGCCACACCGAGACAGGCGGCCATGACCACAGTCGCAAGAGCACGTTGGAAAGGTCCCGGCAACGGGTACCGCTCCTCATGATACTCTTCGCCATCTGGTGTGTGTTCGGTGAATATCTGTTTCGAGTGGCCGAGGTGTAGTGCCCATGCGAAGACGGTCCTTAAGAACATGCCATGAATAAGATAAATCGCAAAGCTGACCTTTCCAAGCCACAGCAGAGGTGGGCGGCTCAACATCCAACGGGCGTGGGGGGAGATGAGAATACCAATGACAAGAAGAATGCCGCCCAGAGAGCCGTACATGCGCTCGAGAGCGCTCGTCGCTTCGGAAGGGAAGTACTGTGTCGCGAAATCCCGAAGCCACAGGGACCAGGACGCCGTTTCAGCAAAGGAACCAGGATACGACATGAAGATGAGAGAAATCAAAATGACAGGTGGTGAAATATAAGGTGAGTAGGGTGCCAAAAGCTTGGGGATGCCCGAGAGGCTGAGTTCACTCAGGGCAATGCCTAAAAAGCAGCAGAGACCAGCCCAGGCTACTGGCTGTTAGCTTGAAGCCCGTCAGGAGCATCACTGGTGGGCAGCTTACGATCTCCAATCATGCGGCTCCAATTCAGAGACCAATACGCCAGAAAAACCAGGGTGATTGTGCGCCAGGTAGGGGTCATGGTCACAACCAGCGACAAAGCGCTGATGATCATGATGCTCCCTTGGAGCAGGTACACAAGAGCCCACTGGGGTTGATCGTATTCGTTTTCGTCACCATAAGTCCAAGTCGCCCGCAGACCGTGCAACAGATCCAGAACTGCGTCAATCCAGGTGGGGCTAGGTTCGGGAGTGTTTGTGTACAGCCAATATGCATCACTCTGTGCCGACGTGGAATACAGATCCAGATTGCAAATGAACCAAGAGATGATGGTAGCGGTAGTAGCCGGGAGGACGAGCCGAAAGATGCGACTGAACGACGACGAGGCCAGTTTCTGCAGGGCTTTATCGACTTGATCGCTTCTGGCGAGTTGAATGGGCTTCAATGCATTGACGAAGCCCATAAGGATGAAGAAAATGGCCACCCATGAGTGACCGCTGGCCACAAGGCGAAAAACAGGTCGCTGAAAAAGGTATGGTTGTTCGCTGAAGAAGGCACAGCATGGCGGAACCAGAGCTCTTGCATAACATATAACAACATGGGATGAAACAACAAATACTGCTGCAATGCCTCGTAGGCCCTGGTTCTAGAGTGTCAATAAACGGCCGTTGCTCTTTTGAATTTTTTTTGCGAACGCCACCTACATCGGCCCAGCCGGTATCTTTCATAGCCCGCTCTTTAACATCGGGAGGAAGTCGAAAAGAGGCATATTGCCGCAGAGCACGACTCGCTCTGTCCATCATGACGCTCATGGCGATGGTCGATGATGGTGGACATGGCAATGGGATGAGAACTGTCGACGTGGTATTTCTCTGCGAAATTCCGGGCTGGAAAGGGTGGTCGTTCAGCCTCAGGCGCCTTGGGCGTGAGATGTCTGACCCTATTGTGGATGACAAGGGTGGCTTGCAAGGGTCTCTGCGGGCGTCGACTGGCTGGTCCCCGGGTGTCCCTGTCCCGTACCGCACCGAACGAAGGGCGAGTGGGTGCGAGATGGTGGAGGTTGAGGTGGTGTTGGCGCAGATGGTGTTTGGGCTCCTTGCTTAGTCAGGGCTGCGCGTCTGGTGCATCTGGTGCGTGTCTCGCTGTCCCTCGCAGCAATTGAACGCAGTGTCTGTCTCTTCTCATACTGTTTCAACTTCAATCATCCTCCTCTTCATCAGACACTGTCTCTTGCTGTCGTCACTGTGCCGTACCTGCAGATCGACTCCCCTGGAGCACTCACCCACCCCGCGACGCGTCATCGTCTCTCCTGAGTGATGAAAATCGTCACCGCGACTTCTCTCTGGGACTGGAACTTGAAACTCGGAAGTGGGAGACCCTTGCAGAGGGCAGGGCCTCAGCGCACGCACACGGACAGAGCACACACGCCACGTCGTTGGAATACGAGGAAACATTTATGCAAAGGAAGTTTCGTGGTGGCACAAATACGGTTGAATGTCCAAGTTTGTGAAATTCGAGGGTTCATTAGCCTCCCTTGTATCACCCTGCAAAAAGCCATCAACAACCTATCAAGTGTTACAGCAAACCCGTACCATTACCGGCGCAATGGATCAGCAGTCCTCGTTCCCCTAGATCTCTTTGTAGGTAGCACAAAATCAAAGGAGTCAACGCTAAACAGGCGGTCGACATATCCGCTTTGGAAAAGCACATCCTCCAGTTTCTCCCCCGAACCACTGACCGTGACTGTGATTTTCAAACACCCCTTGCATCAATTACGTGAAGATCGCCCTCTCAAACGCGGCCACATCTCCCCCCGCAACTCGGACAGCCTTCAATGCCGCCTCACTTAGCTTCTTCCTCTTATCTCTCGCTTCCTGCTCTCTTCGAGCCCTGGTCTTGGAACTTCCGCTTGGTGCTACATCACTCAATAATTTGGCAGAATCCTTGGGCGTGAAGTTGACAAAGTCAATCACCGCCCCTCCGCCGGTAGGTGTCTTGGGGGCCTTTGGGGTTCGTGGCGGTCGAGATGATGATCTCGTCCGTGGCGCTGGGACAGGGTCTTGTGCGGCACTGTCCTTGATAGGCCCTGACTTGTGGATCGATTTCCGTCGACTCTGGCTGTAGTCGGTGACGCTGCGGGTCGGTGATCGCGCAGGGTTGCGTCGGGGACTGACGTTGGTAGGCGACACTGACGGCGTCGGAGATCGGGAAGGTGACCGTCGTTGTTTTCGAGGAGTGGTGAAGGGAGAGAGGTCCGGGAAGACGTGGGATGGAGGTGGTGGAAGAGGTGGATAAGCGTACATGGGATTGGGTGCCGTTGTCGCAGGCGGGTAAGGCAATGCCACACCAATGGGAGCAGGTGCTTGCGGGAGGTACGCCTGTGGCTCATAGAGCACGGCTTGGCTCATCTGCTCCAGCTCTGGATAGTGGATTCCCAGTCCCGTCAATGAGTTGTCACTCGGCTGATGCAAAATCGGATGAGGCACGCGTTTCGGCGTGGGAGCAGCCAATGCCGGATAAGACTCCTCTGGTGCCAGTGTCGGTAGAGGGGGATGAGCAGTCGCTGTGGGGGGCGAAAAGACAGCTTTTGAGTGCATGCTGAGGTTAGTATTTGAGGTATGTGTTCTGGCGGTCTGCGAATGGGTTGAGCTCCCTGATGACGGCAGGCTGGTGCTAATCGGAGAGGGCATCGAGTTTGGCCCATGCATGCCATGTCGATTGGGCAAAAAGAACGAATTACCTCCGTACGCGTGCTGGTCGTCTTGAGACCTCTCAAACTGTGGACTGAGCAGCGCAGGATCAATGGCATTGGTCTCGGGGCGGGCCGAGCTCCTGTACTGGTCAAGATACCCATGACCTTGGCTGGATACGGCCTGATTCTGGGTCATTATAGCTGCATTCATGTCGCGAGCTAGACGGCCTTGTTCAGTCTGCTTGTTTGAGACGGGACGCGGCTGCAACGGGCGTTCGTATGGCATGCGCAGGTGGAAATTCTGAAAGTCTTGCTGCCAGGTGCTCGTGTCGCTCTGGCCGGCGCGCGGCGATATGGGGAGTTGTGCATACATGGGGCTCGGTGATAGGGTGGTTTCGCGAGAGAAGGGAGGCCGGACGTACGTCGTGGGATCAAATCCCCCAGCAGCGGGCGAGGTGACGAACCTCTTTGTTCGGCTGGGTGAAGTGATCTCTAGTGGCTCTTGCGCATGATGAAAGCTGTGGTTGAGGGCATTCATTGTTTGGATTTGCTCTGTCCGCTTTGTCTCTGGCCTGCGTGTTTTCTCCACCGCAAGCCTAGGAGGTTGTTGTCTTTGCTTCAGACACCACACACCCTTGCGCCATGGCTGAGGAGGCGAATGCTCAATCTTGGCTGAGATATCGAGAGACGGAAGTCTGTATTCGTCTTGGTTGAAGGCATCGGCGAAAAGAGCTTCGAACTGGTCCGGATGGGCTTTATTTCCTTCATCGCTGCCGTCCAGCCTGTACATCTCCTCGTTGAAGAAGTCATCAAAGGAACTGCCTTCGTCAGAGACACCTGGAAACAACATCTTGAAGGCTTTGTCTTCTACTTGGGTCAAGCAGTCAGGAGAGTTTGTTAGGGACATGGTTGATCTTGGTAGACATTGTGAATGCTCGAGGTTCGTCCAAGGGAGGACAGAGATGGAAGCAAAATGTAGGCCACATGAGGAAAGTAAACAACATTTTGCAAAAGCCCCGGAAACCTTGTGAAGAGGGCTAGAATCCTTAGGAATGCTGCAAGAATGGAATTCGTTATATTCTGGGGTCCAAGCGTTGGCGGAATCAAGTCACCACCTTGAAAGAGGATTTCATCGAGGCTCTTGGCCCATTGCAAAAGTCTCAGTATCAAAATTCACAAGACGCAAATCATTCTCTCGGGGTTCTGCTTGAAATGTAACACTGTGATTAGTAGACGATGGTTTAGCCATTCCCTCGCCACGTATCGGCCTCGATGACTTTCCTCGGACGGCACCTCAGGTATGTCAAAGCCAGGAGTCCTTTTGCTCACCCCTCCACTCACCGTTGTCCCAAACATATAGGTTTCATGCTCGCGCTTTTGGTGACTGTTAAGCAGGCCAATGTCGAAGAAATATCAAACTCTTGACCATGCCCGCCAGGCTCCAGAGTCGAGATGAATCTCCACTTTGCGGGTCTTTTCTTGCTTCTGGCAACGACTGGGCTCCTAGACGTCTTGCATCCAACAAGAGAGCCCCGAATGATGCCAGATTGATTCGCGTACCAGGAGAAGAATTTGGGTCATCAGCACGTTCTCGATTGCGGTAAGATTGTGACGGTTGCTGCGAACATCACGCCATATTGCAGCGGTCGGTGGTGGCAGCGCTGGCAGTGTCCCTCCGCTGAGTCATGCCTTGATTGGGGCCACCAGGGCGTCCGTTGGCGTCGGCCACCAACGTCATTGGGCCCTCAGGCTGACTTTGTGGGGGAGGCAAACAAACATGAGGGAGCAGGCGAGGCCGACACCGGGCCACCAGGGCAGCACCTGCGGATTTATCAGCAAGCCAGGGCTGGCCATGGCGTGAAGAAAACCCCTCGGAGGGCGAATGGCCTTGGAAATCCCTTGCTGGGCCTTTGAGCACACACCTGAAGAGTGAGCAGCGAGCGAGGTGCGACGTGGGGGACAAGAGGACAGGAGGAGATAAGCGCTTTGCTATCTGGCCGTGGCAATTGTTCACGTGGACAATGAAAAATTCAAGAGAGACTTGCACCAGGCGGCGGGAGATAGAGTTTGATAATGATTGACCTGTTGTCCTCATTCACGCCTGGATCCTGGATCGCTGAATGAATAATGCCAGTCACAGCCCGTGGTTCTAGTCTGCGAGAGAGGCTTCCGTGGCCTTCTGGGGGATGCTAGCGACGCGCCCTCCCCTCCCCTGATTGGCCCGGCCACCGCGGCCCACCTTCCCCCACCTGCCGTTGCCACTGTGTCACTCCTACTGCCTGCGCCCGCGCCTACCGCCTCCCAACCCAGCCGCTACTTAAGCCGCTCTCCTCTGCCTGTTCCCCTTCCTCTTCCTTTCCCATCACTTACACCACCCTCACCACTCACCACTCACCACCCCGAAGCACCACTTCCCTTCGGCGATCTGTCCATCATCTCAGCAACTTACTGCTTCATCTGCTTCATCCTTCACTCCCGCCGCCATGCAAATCTTCGTGAAGACACTTACTGGCAAGACCATCACGCTTGAGGTCGAGTCCAGCGACACGATCGACAATGTCAAATCCAAGATCCAGGACAAGGAGGGCATCCCCCCGGACCAGCAGCGCCTGATCTTCGCCGGCAAGCAACTCGAAGACGGCCGCACCCTGTCCGACTACAACATCCAGAAGGAGTCGACCCTGCACCTGGTCCTCCGTCTCCGTGGCGGCATGCAAATCTTCGTAAAGACACTTACTGGCAAGACGATCACGCTGGAGGTTGAATCGAGCGACACGATCGACAACGTCAAGAGCAAGATCCAGGACAAGGAAGGGATCCCGCCCGACCAGCAGCGCCTGATCTTTGCGGGCAAGCAGCTGGAGGACGGCCGCACGCTCTCGGACTACAACATCCAGAAGGAATCGACGCTCCATCTCGTGCTCCGGCTCCGCGGCGGTATGCAAATCTTCGTAAAGACACTTACTGGCAAGACGATTACGCTGGAGGTGGAGAGCTCAGACACGATCGACAACGTCAAGTCGAAGATCCAGGACAAGGAGGGCATTCCTCCGGACCAGCAGCGGCTGATTTTCGCGGGCAAGCAGTTGGAGGACGGGCGGACTCTCAGCGACTACAACATCCAGAAGGAGAGCACGTTGCACTTGGTGCTGAGACTGCGTGGCGGCCAGTAGACGGACGGCGCGGTGGCGATTCAGATCGATGACTCATGATGCGGCGTTGTGGCTTTTGGGCAGGATTGCCATGCGGGTTCTATGACATGAAAGCAGACCATGATACAGTTATTGCTAGGAGAAGCATGAAAGTGGCAGCGCAGATGACAGGCTGCATTTCAAGCTGAAGCTGGCCTCGGAGGTCAAAGCGCCGGGGGAGCAGTAGCACAATACATATCATCTTGCTTCTCTCACTCTAATCAAATGTTTCTCACTGCGCAGTAATTCTGTTGTTGATTGTGACCAGATGTCTCGTCCCCCTCTCTCGGCGGTCGCATGGAAAGTGACGCATCAGACCCCAGGCGGTTTGCCACTTCTGAGACGTTGATTGTTGACCGCAGTGCATTTAAATTAAATGACCTGCCACTCCTTTGACTCGCCCCATGTCTCTCGCGCCCTCCATTCACGCCGTGATCTTTGTATCGATGCGTATGCGACATGCCGGATTACTTCTTTCATGTCGCTGTTGAACTGTTTCCAGACCCAACCCTGAAAGCGAAGCAAACCGAACACTCCCCACCTCCGAGCCTGTCGTCCTTTTTCCGTGCCTTGAAGCCGTTTACGAGCTCTGGAGGAAGACGAGAGTCGCGAGATCATCTTTTTGACCGCAAAAAGGACCACCCCTTAAGCCCTGCTCGTCCACAGCAATCTGCCCATCCGGAACAGACCCCTCGTGAAATCTGCCACTCTGATCCCCAAGATCACCGTCTAGACACGATCGTCATTGAAGGCACAGATATGTCGGCCCACTCTGGCGGGAATGAGGAGGGACCGGTCGCGAAAGAAAATATCATAGGGAAAGGAATCGGGAGCGCAATATCGGGCCACCACATGAAAGGGCGGTACGAACCCTTGGAGGGCCACGACAGTGCAGATGGGTGGGGGATCGTTCACCTCTACAGAGATTCGGAAGAGACGGCTGGGCTATACAAGGACTCGGTCTATCGATCAAGTGACTTCTGGAGCGACGGACTGCGCAATCCGCCGGCAGGAAAGCCACACCCTCCGCCCAAGGACGAGGAGTGTACAACACTGTGCATCCTCGCGGTGCCATCATACATGACGCCCTCGGACTTTCTCTCCTGGGTCGGCGAGGATACGAGAAGCGAAGTCAGCCATTTCAGAATGGTGCGAACATCCAGGGCGAACCGGTACATGGTCCTCATGAAGTTTCGACACGGCAAAAAGGCAAGAGAGTGGCAGCATGAATGGAATGGCAAGGTTTTCAATAGCATGGAGGTGAGTGCCCTCTGCCAGTCGCTTGGGAGAAGGACTGACAAGTCGGCAGCCAGAGACCTGCCACGTCGTGTTTCTCAAGTCGGTGGAACTCGTCCAGACCTCGACAGCCGTGGACCAGAGCAGCGGGCCGAGCTCACCGACGACAAGCTACCCTCGCATGTCAAACGATCCTTTTATTCCAGCTTCTGCAACGACGAAACCGCTTGCACCGCGAACCCCATCGCTGGTCGAACTGCCTACGTGCCCGGTCTGCCTTGAGCGCATGGACGAGACCACAGGGCTATTGACCATACCTTGTCAACACGTTTTTCATTGTACATGCTTGGAGAAATGGTCTGGTGGCGGCTGTCCTGTCTGTCGGTATACCCATGACGACTTCTCATCACGCCTGGCCTCGTCCAAATTCAAGAGCAAGACATCGACGGGAGAATACGAACCATACGATGGCCCGCTAGAGTGTGAGGTCTGTCACGTGGATACAAGCCTGTGGCAATGTCTCATATGCGGGAAGATTGGTTGCGGCAGGTATGAAGGCAAACACGCATACGCCCACTTTGAGGAGAGCGGGCATACATTCAGCATGGACCTGGAGAGTAAGCGAGTCTGGGACTATGCTGGTGATGGCTATGTTCATCGAATCATCCAAGATGCTGCAAAACCGGGCGAGAAGTTGGTCGAACTGCCGGGCAGACGACGTGAGCCGACTGCTCTTCATGGAGAGGAGGATCTCGAGGTTGCCAAAATGGACAATATCGCACTGGAGTATACACACTTGCTCACAAGCCAGCTGGAAAGTCAGAGGGTGTATTTTGAGGAAGTCGTCCAGAGAGCCGTGGACAAGGCCTCGGAAGCAACCAAGAAAGCAGACAGGGCGATGGAGGAGAGTCGCCTCGCTACAGAGAGGCTGTCTACTCTAGAAAACGAACATGATTTCGTTGCCAAGGGCCTCGTTCCAGAGCTGGAAAAGGAAAAAGCACGACTTGAAAAACGAAGTGCCAAGTTCGAAGAGATGGCCAGGACCATCAACCAAAAATACCAAGAAGAAAAGGCACTGACCAAGTCTCTGATGCAGAGGATCGAGCATTATGAGACTTCCCAGGAGACACAAGTGGAAAAGCTGAAGCAGACGATACAGCGACTTGAGGAAGAAAACGCCACAAAGGACTTGTTAATGGAGGGGCTGAGGGACGAACATCGCGATGCGATGATGCAGATCTCCGCCCAGAGGAAGTTGCAGGAGATGGTGGAGAGGGGCGAGCTGGAGCAAGAGGACTTGGAGGGCGCGGTCATCGAGGCTGGGCCTGCTCCAGCTCCGAAGAGGATGATACGTGGAGGAAGAGGGAGAAGAGGGTTGAACAGTCCCAGTCGCAACCTTGAAACATCAAAAAGCCTTCCCCAGCAGCAGCAGCACCAGCCAGCTACCGACGGACACCAAGCATCTTCTGCTTCTAAGGACAAACCCGAGCCAGTTCACTCTTTCTACAACGATATCTTTGGCGAAAGCTCGCGGAGCCACGACTGGGACGACGAGAAGGCGAAGAGGATCCTCGACGAGTGCAGGGCCAAACTGCTTGGGGAAGGCCTCCTTGTGCCGTCTGCGCCGACTTCGGCATCCTCGCACGTCGAGACTGAAGGCAGTAGCGATGTTGAGCTTGACGGCGAAGGAAAGGCAAAGGGGACCGCCGCGAGGAAGAAGAAGGGGAAGAAAAAGTCGAAAAAGTGAGGCCAGGGATAAAGGGCTATGGCTGTACTGTTGCGGTCCAGCTGGTGTGTGCATTGCATCCAGCATACCGAGCATGCTGATGGGTCTCTAGCTGGATACCTATGCTACCACTGGGCGTCCATCATCTTGGCTGTCATGTCACTCTTGGGAAATAGGATTGTATAATCCAACAGGTGAAGGGAGTTGGATTCAATAACTTTGATACCCTCGACTGTACTGCAACCAGTCCTCTTCTTCATGGATCGATGTACATGGAATTGTGGGGTAAAAAGACATCTCAGACGTCCCCCGTGTTCTATTCTCCCTCCCGCGCCGGGATCCTTCTGTTTCCATCACAGGTAGTGGTAATAGTACATGGTATGATTTCCTTTTTCTTTGCCCTGCTGCTCGCCGGCTTTTCCAAGGTCGTGGTGATACGTTGATATCTCGACGTTTCCGTGGCCCAAAGATGATATATACATGGCGGGCTTGAAGATTGAATTTCATCAAATTGCTGCTCGAGCCGAACGTACGTGGTGTTGATACAGTTGGGTGATGGATGGCATTGTTTCTTCGGATACTCTGCACCATAAGAAACCAAGGCTCAGCGGTCAATCAATAGTGTCGACTGCCCTGAGGTCAGTTGAGTCGGCCTCTTTTTCTCCTCTTCTCATTCCAGCTTCTGCACGCCAAAGAAGTAATTCCCAAACTCCTCGCTGCCCTGGACAAACCGCCACCCGAGGGCCGGGACGTAGACGACTCCTTGCGTGACAAACTCTCCCCACCGTCCCGGCGCTCTGCCGGACTCGAAATACCCCCTCAACTCCGGCGGGTTGATGTACTTGTTCCAATCGTGCGTGCCCCTCGGCACCACACCTATCAGGGGTGCTTCGGCGATGAGCTTCGTCGTGAGATAGGCGACGGGTGAGCGAGAGATTGTCGAGCCGATGAGCCACCCGCCGGGCTTCAGGTGGGGGATTGCGGTTTCGAGAAAGGACGAAGGCGAGTCGATATGTTCGAGGACCTCGAACACGGTCAACACGTCGTATGTTGCCCCGTCGGGCAGGTCTTCGATGGCGCAGTTGCGATATTCGAGCTTCCCCGGAGCTGCGAGCGCCGGGTCCGAGCGCTGGTGCTCCTTTGCGACCTGTATGACACTCTCGGTGGGATCGATGGCTGTCACGCGCGAGGTCGTGGGAAGGCGAGCGGCGGAAGAAGCGAAGATGCCCCCGCCACAGCCAACGTCCAGATATGACCGTCTCTTCTCATTTGCGTCCTCGATGTCTGGTTCGGAGAGGCAGGTATCTGGGGAAGGCCTCTGCAGGCACGAGCGGATAAAGTCGTGGCGGAGAGGGTTCATTAGATGGAGCAGGCGAGAAGGGCCGTGAGGATCCCACCACGAGGAAGCCAGGCGGGAGAAGTGTGTGACTTCAGAGGCAGAGACGGAGGACGCTGTGCTCGCATCTGTCGTGAGGGATGAATGATACCGGCGGCCTTGTGAAGTTGTTCTTTGTGTCCTTGCTCTTTCCAGTGCCAGGGCCCGTAGACACGACCTTGTCATAGGTGGCGTCCGCAGCGCATCAATCGAGCAGGTTCCGGCGCCCTTCGCAGCATGGCGGAGGGGCCCAAGAACGGTCGCAGCCATTCGGCGCGAGAGATGAGTGTTCACCGCAATGCTTGTCTGGACTCACGATGCTGAAGCGATTGCAGAGCGGATAACGCTGCTACCGGAGCTCGACATCTTCTCTAAGGATCTGCATTGTATAGATAGGACGGGTGGTGTTTGCTGGGCAGAATTGGAAAGCATTCAATGCTTCTGGCCGAATGTTAAAGTTCGGCGGGAAAACTGGCAGACCTGCCGCAGAAAAAAATGGCACAGTCTGACAGAAAATAGACTCTTCTCAGAGCATAGCCAGCTCCTCCATAGCGACGAGGGGCCGCCAGATCAGATATAGCTAATATTATTAACAGAGATAGGAATGCCATTATCTCCAAAGACAGAATCAATGCCCCTCATGAATGATGATTATCTTTGAGTCCAATAGTGAACCACTTCGACTTTGCTGATAGTATGTATGATACCCTTTTTCGTCAGACCGTGCCACTTACTTCTGGTACCCGTTCGGAGCATCCTCAGCAGCTCTCTATTGAGGCAACCCCTCATATCAAGGGTCGGCAGAGACGACAATTAACCGGTTATGCCGACTCTCCCCTCGCCGAGCGCCCTATAACCATATAAAAGGTGATAGCGGGGATGGCTTCAGCAGCCCCGGCAATTCTTTGCCCACCTCCCAGGCAAGGCTTCTCGGCTGTCTCTTATGGCTGAAATAACCGCGCAGACGAGCCGTCAGATCAGACGGAGAGCTAACCTGGTGTGTATACGATGCCACCAGAAGAAGGTAAATTCACCGCTGAGCTGATCCATGCGAGCGCAACGGGTGTATGAGCACGGGTGACCGGTATCAGATCAAGTGCGACCTCAGCTCGCTCACAACCGACCGCCAATGCAGCAATTGTCGAGCGACCAACTCAAGTTGCTAGTAAGTGAGAAGACATGTTTGGTCGCTCTCCAGAGCACATTGCTCAGAAAGCTGCAGTGCTCGACAATCCCGACGCCGGGGTGCTCCCCATCGTCTGAGTACTAGCTCTACCGGCCTTCCGCCTTCGAGTGTTGAAAGCCCTGTTATAGCCACCCCATTAGATCGATCCAGCTATACCCCGGCCAACCCACCCGAGAGTGCGATCAAAGACAATGACACAGGACAGATCAAAGCAGGACAGCATCTCGCGAGGACGCCGAGGCATGATGCTGATGAGCGGTGCGACACGATACACACGAGCTCCAGGCTAGCTGCGTTGTCCGAAGGACACCAAGGGCATCGCGAACGAGCCTATTTGGGACAGTCTGGGTTCATGTCCATGTTCGACCATCCATCCCGAGACGACTCTGATCAGGGCATCAGCCCGTTGATAACACCGAACCAGCCAATTCCTGAGTTGTCTCTCATTCTACGACAGAGCTATGCTGAGACCTTCGTGGAATACTGTTACCCCTGGTGTCCGGTCGTGTACCGTGACGACCTTCTGGACGATCGGTCCCCCTTTGCACGGTCCCTGCTCCTGCAACAAGCCATCGGGCTTTTAGGGACAACAATCAACCCCCCTAGACTTTCCCATCAGGCCCGTCGCGTCCATTATGAGAGGTTCAAAGTCCTGTTTCACTCCAACATGGAGCGAAACCCGTTGGTGAGGATCGTCGCAATCATCCTCATCTACTGGTGGAGCGCTGGCCCTCCTAGTGTGGTCAGCATGGATAGCCAATACTGGTGGACATCGATCGCGATCCGGCTTGCCCAGGAGATTGGTCTCCATCGCGAGGCAACTCCCGGGCAGACACTGCGACTAGGTGAAACAGCAACCTTGAGACGTTGCATATGGTGGACATTATTTGTAAGTACTCGATGCCCCGGTCCCTGGCGGTGCTAACCCCCTCGTGGGCGAGAGAACGCTTGACGTCAGTGTGTCAAGGACGCCCATGCATCATCCATCCCGAAGACACCAACGTCAGGCTTCCGAGTCTGGACGAGTTCCCTCGTGACCGGCGGGATCAGGCCGAAGTCTTCATTTGCTGGGTCCAGGTCTGCGAGATCATTGGGGATCTGTCCAAGCACTTGCGCAATCGAAGCGATGCAACTGGATCTACCTTTGAGCTCGCACAGAGACTTATCAAATGGGTAAATGCGCTGCCACAGCGCTTGAGGCTGCCGTTCAGCGCCGCGACGACGTCCTACTTCGACCGCCACGTCCACCAACTCCATCTGCCTTATCTGTCGGCCATCACCCTCCTCTACATGAGCGCGTCCACGCAACCGCTCCCCAAGGCATACGGGGCGGCGGTCCTCTCGGCGTCATGCGTCGCGCGCATCTTCGAAGACCTCTTGGCTCGGGGATCAGTTGCGTTCCTCCCAGGCGTGGCGGGCTGGTACATCAGCATCGCCATCCTCGCCCTCCTGCATGCGCGGCGGATCGAGCGCTTGAAGGCCGCCGCGAACGCGCAAATCGACGTGCTGTTCCTGGCGCTGAGGGAGATGTCGCATCTCTGGCATTCCTCGAGGATGTTCTTGCTGGGCTTTGAGAAGCTGCTGGCCGGCCTCAACCCTGACACACCCACCTCGCCCCAGGTGGCGGGCAGTCAGCCGGCCCAGGCGCTGGAGTTGAATGAGCTGGACATTGCGGACGGCATCGACTACCACGACTTCTTCCCCGGCGCCACCCCCGACACGACCCAGCTTTTCTCGGTTCTCTTCACCCATCACCCGCCCTCCATTTTCGTCGAGGCGGAATGGACCAACGACCTCAGCTTACAGCTCCAGACCATGTTCGGTCACCCGTACGACGAGCTGGATTTCGGACTTGCAGTGAACGACCTTTGATGCTCCACTCCAGGACGCAATGAACATTGAACCATTTGTGTTCAAAGGCCAAGGACCTCGAGGAGAGCGACAGACGCGACCTGGGGCTGGAATGCATGAACTTGTCAAGTGTGAACAAACCGGACCCGACGCCAATTGGGCCGCAAAGCATCAGCCAGCACGGTCTATGATCAAAGATCAGCCCACACCTAGTGCTACCTCTCCACGGCCGTTCCAGAGTCCCAGAACTACTTCGGTAAGCGGTTTGCCCGGCTAAGAGATCAGGTCCCCGCGTGGGTCAATCTCGGGGAAGACGATTGCGAACTCCAGGGTTATCTAGAGGAGCAGCAGCCTTGCCTCACGAATGAAAATGGCAGAATTTGCCCGTTTTGCATGATTTCCTACTTGTATTCTTTTGATCATTCACCCAATTACTCGAGGACAACTGGCACCCGTGCTCTGGTATCAGTCCCGCGTGGCCATTGACAATATCCCGGGGCCCCGTGCTTGGTTCTCTGAAGAATTCCATACCATTTTCCGTCCTAAGTTTATTACTCGGACCCAAATCGTCTCGCCTACTCACGCTCCAGCCTCATCATACCTCACCACATCCTCGCCTTGTCCGAGTCCGCCAGGTATTAGACCCTCACATTCTATTTAGCTCCTGTAAGGTCCGTGCCCTACTCGGGCGCACTCCTCCGATCCGCCTCCAGCGCGGCATACACGTCCGCCATGCCCTCCTCCTTCCTGCTGGTGAAAGCATGCGGGCCGGGCCCGGGGTCGTTCAGCAGGGCGACCTCCCGCCAGCGGTCCGGGTGGGTGACCTCGAGCACCGTGCCGGGGGGGAAGCGGGCGCGGTCGAACGCCACAGCCATCATGCCCCTGGCGATCTCGTCAGGCGCGGAGAGCCGGTCCTTGGCCGGGTCGACGAACCGCAGGGCCTCCGGGTGGTCGTACATGAGCGGGGACATGGTCGGGCCGGGTGCGACGGCGACGACGCGGATGCCCTCCATGTCCTGCAGCCGGGCCATGCCGCGCGTGAAGTTGCTGATTCCCTGCTTGGCCGCGCCGTATAGCGGCGTCAGCATGCTGGGCTTCTGCGCCCCTGTGCTCGACACGTGCACGATCACGCCCGGCTGCCCCCGCCCCACCCACCGGCGGATCGCGATGCGCGACATCTGCAGCGGGTGCTCCAGGTTGATCCGCAGCAGCGAGTAGTGGCCGCGGCCGGCCGCGGCGTCGCTGTCGTTCCAGAAGTTGGCCCACGATGGCTCGTACACGCCCGCCCCGGGGCACACCACGTCCGGCACGCCGCCCCCGAACTCGCGCGCGTAGCCCTCAAACGCCGCCTCCAGCTGCTTCCAGTCCGACACGTCCGTCTTGAGGAACGCCACTCTTGGCCCGGATGGCGGCGTCGTCTGCTGCGTAGTGTCATCCGAGATATCCTTTTGGTGGATCGTGTCCAGCCATGCGACCGCCTCGCGGTGGAGGGCGAGGTCGCAGATCAGCACGTTGCAGCCCGCTCGGTACAGGTGCTGGACAAAGGATAGACAGATGCCTGTTGTGTGGCCAAGTTAGCCATCTCCCACTTAGTGAAGTGCCGCCAGTCAGTCAGTTGGTTGGTGTTACCGGAGCCGCCGCCCGTGACTATTGCTCCTTTCCCTCGGAGGTCCACATCGACTTGTGCCATAATGTCGAAGAAATGGTCATGTCCTTAACAGGGACGTCTTCTCAGGCCGCTACTATGCAAGAAATAAAGTCTATGCTGAGGTTTGACTTGGGATATGTATATCGGCTATAGAATGCCTTTGAGTCCCCCGCAGTTCGGTAATTGGGGTGGAGAAGCACGCACTTCGTCGATAAGCACAAGTATTCAGGGGACACCGTCCGCTACAGGAGGGCAACATGCCGGCTACGAAGCGATGTCTGCGTTCTCTGCCGAAGCCGACTCTTGAATCCGCGTTGATGGCATTTCGCTAGGAACGTCGCACTTTTGATGCCCCAACTGCGACGACGTTTCGGTTTCCTCAGTAAAAGGAGCGTGAGCACACAATCAAGGCCGAGGCTGTTATGTTATCGAAGCAGCGGCTGGAAGAACAATGGTAGAATGCAACTCAAGTTTCCCTGCAGGTTAATTTGAGACTTAGTACTATCGAGACAAGTCGCTTTGACTTCAAAGAGGAACCCCGCTAACTCAAGAGTCTCCAGTGTAAAGTTGACTCTCTGAAATGAAGGCGACGACGATGCTGAGAGTAAGAAACAGGGGAGTAAGTTCCGGATAGCAGGCTCGAAGCATGCCGAGCTCTGACCAACCGCGCCTCCAGGCAATGGATCTGATCCTCCACAGCTCCCAATGCCCCTCTGGACCGCTCTACAGTGTATACCTGAACGACGGGCTCTTGTCGCCCAGGTCTGCAAGCTGTTCGTCCGTGTATCCCTCCGCAGCTCCACTGCGCTCTCTCTTCTTGTTGATGACCCCATACGAGATCCTCAAAATGATGACAGCCGCCAGGCCGAAGACGACAAACATAATCTCCAGGCCGTGGCCGAGCAAATACTTGGGCGCGTCGACGCTGCGATAAAAATTGCTCGCCATGGCTCCTCCAAGGTTGCCGAGACCAATCTGAAGGGCCATACCAGCACTTCGCTTGTAGCTGCCCGCCAAGTTGTTGGCGATCCAGGTGACGTTGCCTGGGAAAGCAGGGTAGATTCCACACGTGGCAATGAATACACCGGCATACACCACGCCGGGGATATCTCCGGCAGCCGAGCCAGCGATGGCGATGATAAAGCCGACCAAAATGGCGCACATGGGGAAGAAAATATAGGGCCAGCGTGAGGAACCTCGCTTGGTGGCTCTGTCGGATGACCATCCAACAATGACAGCCAGGATTGCGGCCGATATATAGATTGGAATGGTCAGGAGCTGTGCAGTTGTTGACTTATACCCGAGTTCCTTGATGATCGTAGGAAGGAAGAAAGAGATTCCATACAAGGGACATACTATTCCCCAGTACATAAAAAGTGACAGGTATAGTTGCCAATCGGTGAGTGCTTTCGGAATGTTAGCCGGAATCTGGCCAGAAAAGGTAATTAAGCCAACGAGGCTGAGCTGTTACGGACGAAGGGAAAGGGGCGTCACTTGCCTCTGACAACATATTTCCACTCAAAATGATCACTTTCAGCAACCATTCTTCCACTTTTCTTGCTCCCTTGGTATTTGAGTCGGTGCACAACCCAGGCCTTCTCCTCCGGGCTCAAGAAGGTTGCGGTGTCTGGGAAGTCATGCAGGAGAAAGAAAGCCGCACAGGCAACGACAACGGTCACGATGCCTTCGAGGATGAAGATCCATCGCCAGCCTGCTTCGCCCGCGACTCCGTCCATTTTGGCGATGGCGTACGCAAGTAAGCCTGAAAAGGCACCGGCCACGCTGGCGGCGCTGAAGAAGAGACTCTGGCGGAATGCTAGTTCTTCGGTGCAGTACCCTGGATAAGTGCCCTGTCAGCGGTGGATGCCCCGAACAAACATGGCCAAAGGCTGGCAGCCGATGTGGTCACTCACACATTGTCAAATAGTATGCAACACCCGGGTAGAGTCCTGCCTCGGTGACACCAAGGAAGATACGAGCAATGAGAAGACCGTGGTAGCTTTGAACGAGACCCATCAAGGTCATGACCGTGCCTGGCTGTTGTCAGCTGCCATTACTTTTTTACCAATGCTCCAAACACTTACCCCATGCTACCATGATAGAAGGTAACCACACCGAAGGCCTGAAGCGCTTCAAAAGCAAGTTGGACGGGATCTCAAAAGCGCAGTAGGTGAAGAACTAGAGACCGTTGACATTAGCCAGCGGTTGAACTGGAACGGGAGTAAAACTCACAAAGACGGTCGCGCAAAGGCTATATTCCGTGCCGGAAAGATCCAGGTCCTCTTCCATGCCTTGGATCTTCGCGTTGCCAATGTTGCCTCGGTCGAGGAAAGAGAGTAGGTATAGGATCGCCAGCATGGGTATCAAGCGCAAATCCATTTTGCGCAGGACCTTCTTGGAGTCCACATTCGAGGTGTCCACCCCTTCGCCGGTCCAGTTCGGGTCATGGTGCTTGGATGTCTGTAGCGAAAAGAAATGTTAGCGAGAGCGAGCAAGGAGACCAATGCCCAAGGTCTATATTGACATACAGCATGTTCATACACCATGTCCTTCTCACTGAGACTAGGCTTCTCCACCTGCTCTTCAGCCCATTGCTTGGGCGTCGTGGAGAGAGTCTCGGACATGATGGATAGCAGTGTTGAGGGTATGAAATCTGTTGCAGCCTCAAGAATCTGCTGGATGAGTGTTCGAATGCAGAGACTGGCGGAGGAAATGCTGGTGTCGTGGGAAATGCAGCAGCTATATAGATACGTCAACGTGGTTCAACATCCAAGTGTTGAACATAACCTCTGACATGTGCCCAGGCCCCGGAAGCGATCAACCCTGCCAACTCCACGTTTCTCCGCGTGCCTGCAGGGCATATTCCCCTGCGGAGGGTACCCTAGCGCGGAGCGAATCTCTTGGCGAAAGACACTCAGTGGCGGAAAATGGAGCCTCAGGCCCCGGATCCGAAGCACTTCGCTAATGAAAGAGGTCTCATTGGCCGGGCACCTCGTATCTGATGCCCCAACGTGGCCTCATCGCCCTGAATCGATGGATAAGCTCCCAAAATGTTGTTTTCGGATCCGGATGCAACATTAAAAGCATTGCAGCCTTCCTGCCTATCGCGAACTGCAGCTGACTCCTTTTCCGCCTGGTAACGCGAAGGCCAGTATGTGGAGGAAGAAAGCTGGAGAACATGATTTTGCGGTCGGACAAATGGCTGTGTAGCGAAAGATTGCCGTTTAGATCCAGCGGGGAAACGTTCCAGAACCCAGGACTCCTTTACCCACGCTAATGCGATGTCACTTGCGCATCCAATTAATCCATTCGCCACTTCCGAATTGAACAAAGCGAGGCATAGTGTCCAGACCTGTTTCAGCGTGTGATGGTCTCAGCAAGCCGGGGTCGACGGTGATGAACTTGAAAACGGTGGTGTGATCTCGCCAGTTGTCACCCCAATGGGCCCAGCAAATTTTCGGTCGTTGGTCGTATCCGTCGTCCGGAAATTTGACGAGGCAAGTCAGCGGTCACTCAAAGAATCGCTCTTGCAAGTGTATCGGGCTTATGGATATAGTGGTTGGGGTGGAAATTCAGCGGTCTCAAACTCCGCTCGGGTTGTCTGGACCGATTTGGAGACTTGTGGGAGTTGTTCCAAGGTGTGCTTCAGAGTTGAACGCAGGTTATTGTAAGCATCTGTGCTAATCTTGTCGGCTCCGAAGTCTCTGTCTATGGCCTGCTGCATCAGCTTCACTGCCGCGACGACGTGGTGAGGATACGGATCAATCGCAATTAACGGGACGGTCAAGCTTGTCGATTGATTAGGTGCGATATCTGGATCGGAAACGGCTGGCCCGGGTTGTAGTTTTAAGGTATACCTGTTGTTTAAACCAAAGACGAGGCAGTTCATGACCCAGGTTTCTGCATCAACTTTCTTCGCCGAGAAGAGGGAGAGGAGATCCTCGCGCATAGTCGCGGTCGCGATATCGGTGACCATCAAAATCGACAGGTTATAGTGCAGCATGAGTTCATCTATAGGCAGGTTAAGTAACAGGACTTCGTAGAGACGTTGGGGATGAAAAGGGCTTACACCAGCGGAGTCTCGTTTCTTGGTTGAAGAACTGTATCCGCCTCTGGCATGCGATGAGCAAGTCCCGGTAGGTTACGTTGAACTGGTCGATAGTGTTAGACACGGAGTTGAACGCCCTGAGGACCTCTGCCTCATCATGGCCATCCCTTAGAGATTCTTTCAGATTTGCGGTAAGTTTCCAGACCAACAACTTCCATGCTGCTCCAGCTGCTATGACCTGATTTGCTTTCTCGTCTGTCAGGTCAACGTCAAGATTGCTCCAGTCTCTTGTCGTTTCACGGAAGATGCCAATGCAAGTCCGTACCATACGCCACGAAGGTTCAGACTCGAAGCCGAAAAGGCCAGAAGAAAGCAATGGCCGGCAATTGAGGGTTAAAGAGGCGGACGTATCGAATGTCAATGCCGCCCAGTATGCAGTGCTTTCGGCAATAATGAAATTGGCGGTGGCAAGCGAGGCGGGGCTTGTTCCGATAGGGCGGTTCGAATTTGTGAGATTGACTCGTGTCCCGTTAAACTGCAGGCTCTTTTGACGGGCGCGGAGTGTTTGAATCTGCTGCAGTGCAGCATGGACGCAAACCTGACCCGATACTCCCTCAAGTTCTTCTTCTTCAGATATGCCCACCGGGATGGGTGTTAGAGCAAACAAAAGCAACGTCAGCATAGATCGATAGGACGGCCTGTTGATGACCTTGAGCATGTCTGTATGTGCACGCCGCCAAAGGCGACAGATGATGCCTGCTTGGGAAAGCTCCGGCAAAATTGATTGTTGAGTCAGAGGTAGCCATCGAGCGGCGAAAGATTGGACAGCATGATCAAGGAACTGGTTGAGCTGTGTATCCTTTTCGTGTCTGGTAAGATCTGGCGAAGCTCCGGTGTCAGATATTATGCCTGCCACAGCATCTTCTTCGTCGATGTGTCTGTCGAGGTCACTGCAGATTCGGCGTATACTGATCACGTCTGATAGGCTCTGTTCTCCAAAACTAATGTCATCAGCGATGCCGCAAGTTAAAGGGATGGCGGCGCCCTTACGCAAAAGGATTGCTGTGGCGGCCCATCCAAGACCCAAATATTGTTTCAAAGGCTCCCTCATATATGGTATGGAGCCACTGACTTTCAATGGTACTGATAGGTTCCGGGGTTAAATGAGGTTGTATGAGCAGAGGTGGTTGTGATAGCTGATCCGACGACCAGCTCCACTCATAGTTTGTCCTGTAATCGTTAGGAAAGCACCTCAGCAAAGTGTCTTCGCATACCTCGTCGGCTGTTCACTTGTGGCACTCTCGGAATTCTGGTGGACAAGATCGGACAGTGATTCGCCAACTATTCCAGTTTGATCCTCTTCGTAAATCGTAGATTCTCGTGAAGCCATCCTGGGCCTTCTCCTCTTGGCTTTTGCGCCCTGGCCCTTGCGACTACTTGCAGGGGTGGGCGTGCCCGCCTTCATCCACTGTTGCGAAACAAGGGCTTCAGTCAGCATGTATTCTCCGCCAATGCAGCCAGTGGACCATGCAGACCTCAAATGTACACTGCAACTGCCGATTGAGGCATCTCGTACAGGTTAGAAGCTCCTGTTGTTCGTCTCGGTTCCGACGGGCTCTACCCGCGTCACAACCGACTCTCGCCCTGCGACACTCATCGCAGCTGGAAAATTGGACTCGGCGCGGGACCATCTCTCCTTGCGACATGGTGGCGCGTATGGCATCTCGTGTGCCCACAAGAACAACGCTGATGCATGAAAAATTGTTGAAGAAAGGGAAAACAGCGTTGAAGTTGAGGCAACGAAGGTGAAGTTGCGGCATCGCTGCCAAACTTTGAGAGAGCCGCTAAACTATGTTGGTAGCTGGCGTGCGCGATGCACCAACCACCGAGGCAGATGAACAGGCACTGGCCCTATAACCCCGCCTAGAGAATGTTCGATAGGAAGAACCCGGGGGAGCGGTCGGGGCAACTTTGCGGGGGCCGGGTGCGCCCATGGCTCCCAAGCCTTAGACTGTGGGTGCCTAAAGTACGGTGCGTAGGAACCCAATATATATACTTAGGGACGAAGTCTGCATTCGACATTCTATTTACGGAACAATCTAACACGATCTAGTCCTTCTCATGGCTTTTGATACTCATAAAACCCCTTCCCGCTCTTGACACCGAGAAGACCGTCTTGAATGAATCGCTGGAGATATTCGCGAGGCTCAGGAGGAACATCTTTCCGCTTTTCTGCGTAATGCTCCTCAATGTTGAGCACAACGTCGAGTCCAACAACGTCCATCTGCTCAAATGGACCCTTAGGCGTCTTCAGAACGTCCTTGAAAATCGCGTCTATCTCAGCCGGAGTTGCCACTCCCTCTGCTGCTGTGAGCAATGCTTCCCTTTTGATTGCAGCCCAAATTCTGTCCCCGAGAAATTCCATCAGTGCTTCTGAGTGGGATTTTGAAGGAGTAAAGGGACAAGCAAACCTGTTGTATATGTAGCCCATGGAATCTTTCTTCACATGGAAAGGACTGAATCCATGCTCCCGACATTGCTCCATGAGGAGTGGGATGATTTCAGGATCAGTATTCGCGTGACCCATGAGTTCAATTGCTGGACTAGAGGTCAGTGCGGTGCCTGAATGGCTTCGTACTTGACTTACCAGAGGTCTCTGGAGGCCAGTCTTGACAAGGCATGTTGTCAGTATTTGGTACATGAACCCGGAAATCATAGAGGTGCGTGCTTACAACAGTGAGCGCTGAGAATCCGCCGTTCATGGGACAATTTCAAGCCATCAATAATCTCAGATATGCTATAACTGCTCGAGTTGGATGCTATGATGGTTTCAGGTGCCGCCAGCTCGTCGAGTCGTGTAATCATCTGTCGCTTGAGCTCCAGTCGCTCTGGAACGCACTGTCCTCGTTGCATTGATCAGCTGGATTTCAACATCTCATGTCGTAGTTTCGACAGTGCTTGCGTACCTCTACGATCAACCATGTATCTTTCAGCCCCGCGGGTAACTGGTCCGAGGTAAAAGTCTTGATCTCGCCCCATCGTGCGTCGCGACGTTGGGAGGCAGACCGGAGCTGGTCAATGTACTTGACACTCTCAGAAAGCTGCTTCGTCTGGGCGTCAATGAGATGAACAGGTCGACCCTGGCTTGACCACTTTGTGCCGGAGCAGGTCAGTTTAGATTCAAACTCGGCAAAGGAATCAACCAGATATTCACCATGTATGCCAATCGTCGACCCTGCGTCCCTGCGCCCACAAGGGCGGTTGCCCTTCCTGCCAGCATGTTGGCTGTGAATATTGAGTCTGAAAAGATCTAATGGGCCTTTTCAGCCTTCGTGAGTAGAAGAAAAGGTTGCTATGTACTTATTCGCAGCCATTACGCAAAGCCGCGAATGTTCTCGGATCCGAAGAATCTCGGCTAGCAAGGCGATGCGGAGGCGTGGGCGCGCGGGGAATTTCTGAAGGGAGCACCGGCTACGTAAGGCTAATTAATCAGGCAGGGAACTACTTAAACAAGCTCCTGGACAAGTCTTCCTGGATGTCGAGAGTCAACGTCGAGAAACACAACTTAGTCCCTGAAAGAGGCCACCCCATCGCTCAGCGATCGAGGATTCCCCAAGGGGTAACATTCATGACGGATTCTCCCAACAGAGAAGTGATGCTTCGGCATATGGTCCACGATGCAATTTTCTCCTCATTCCAGTCGAGTGTGCCGATACCGAGATGTAACGGGCATCTGTGCCATCACGTAACAATGAGCTTCGGTACGTTGATCCAAGTGCTTTTGCATACTCTTGTGTGCCGGTGAATCGACCTTCCACAGCTTGCGGCCTCCTCAGCTGGAGGAATGTCTCCAAACTCCATTCTTGTGGGAGCTAGGTGGATGTGAAACGTTGCTCGATGCAGGTATACATTGATGGCATGCATCCTGTGGCTGAGGGCGTCACATCTGTTTCCCTCAACTGGCTCTTTTCTTCAGCTGCTCTAGTCGAGCGGGAATTGGGATCACCTCTTTTATCAGGCGCGGCAGCATGCTACACCAGTAGACCAAGTGAAGAAGCATGCAGTCAACGGAGGCAGTCATGTCATACCCAGTCTTGACCAGTTTGGACACCAAGCCAAGCAAGATGGAATATTTTTTTGTCGACCAAGGCCATGGTGTGCCAGTACATACTGATCATCGTCGTATCGGCATACTCTCCTTTTTACGTGGATGAAACATGGTCAGCATCACGGACGGTTCGAAGTCTTCCTCTATAAATCGGTAGACTGCTTCAGTTTTGCTTCGCTTCCGCCTGTTGGCAACGACAGATCGCGAGATTTCTCTCTACCCGGCTATAAGCTCCATAGCTATGTGTATGGCGGACTTTCAGGCAAGATGATTGACAAATGAGGAGTTCTTGACCTGGATAGACATGACTGGTCTTTGCGGACTCGACGTAATCAAGGCTTGCTGCTGGTAAATGCCTTCAATTTGGATGGACAGGGTCTGCGTCCTAAGGATGCCCATGACCAGCCACTCCTGAAGCTTCGTGATCTGTGGCATCCTTTGCAGTGACAGCCTCGCACGTGCCAGGAGACCGACAGCATGTGGCCGCATGGTCAGAACACGGAATGCTTGGCCATGTCCCGCGGAGCACATGGAGGCCCGGCGTCCCTACCCGTCAAAGTGACAAAGGCAATTGATTCCAGTCGCCAAGAAACCCTCCCGGTGGCCAGATTGTTGGATATAATGGGAGTGGCGGACGCGATCTGTTCCGGCCTCGGCGAAACCGACCAAGCGGGCGAGGTTCTTGGCGCCAAGCACTTGAAGTTCTTGACTCCTCTCGCTTACAGGCTCGCAAGGCCTGGTGGTGCTGGTATTGCGTCAACCCAAGCCCCCCGGCCAATGCCGACTTGTTGCAGCGGATATCAGAGGTGGTTTCCTGTCTCTTGGGACTTCTTGGGACCTTTCCCTTTGTAACCCTATCAATCGCCTCCATCTCCCGCCCAGGCTTGGCCGATTCCGCACATATGGGAGAGAAGGCGCTGTGTCTCGCCACCTTTCCACCGTGTGGACTGGGGCCTTCGTCTGTGCCAAGAGCGCGAGACCGTATGCTGAGACTAGATATCCGTGATGACTCTTGGCTTCAAGGATAGGTACATGGAGGAAGTCTTGGACATCATCGAGCTGGGTACGGTCCCTCGGGGCTAATACTCCGACAAGATGCTGCTTCAGCTCTATATAACAACGGACAGATCCTCTCAACCCGGGGGATCCACACACTCTTTCCAAGCTTCCAGCGAGATTTACACTTGCTTGTCTCTCCCTCTCACTCTAATAAGATCTTTGTCAGACACATTGGAGCAGGCTAACTCAGAACGATCACAATCACTTATCTGTCAACAGAATCGGAACACCATTGCCCAGGACCCAATCACCGCCTTGGCAGTCACCTGATATGGGCCAGAAGGGCGGGAGGGCCGAACAGAACTACCCAAAGCAGCCTTTCCTGCTCTCTCCGGATGAAATCATCAGCCACCTCGAGACCAGACTCGACTCGGGACTGAGCGATGTTCAAGTCCAGCAATACCAGCAGAAATATGGACCCAACAGACTCGAAGGAGACGGCGGCGTCTCCTGGTACGCCATTTTGGGAAAGCAAATCTCCAATGCCATGATTCTGGTATGTTCTCGAATATCAAGCGAGTTCTTTTCCCAGCCGACTGACCGTATTGCAGGTGTTGGTGCTCGCCATGGCGCTCTCGTACGGCGTGGAGGATTTCGTCGAAGGCGCCGTCATCACAGCCGTCATCGTTCTCAATGTCGTTATTGGCTTCTACCAGGAGTTTCAAGCCGAGAAGAAGATGGATGCGCTGCGATCCCTCTCCTCCCCCTCAGCAGCTGTCATCCGGGATGGGAACGAGATGACTATCCCATCCGCGGAGGTTGTTCCCGGTGACATCGTATCAATCAAGACCGGGGACACCGTGCCGGCAGATCTGCGGCTGTTCGAAGTCATGAATCTCGAATGCGACGAAGCCATCTTGACGGGCGAGGCGCTGCCAGTTGCCAAAGAAGTCGAATTTGAGGCTAAGCACGGCACTGCTAAAGAGGACCTTGGTCTGGGAGACCGGCTAAACATAGCGTACTCGTCGTCCACAGTTACCAAAGGACGAGGCCGCGGCGTGGTGGTCTACACAGGCATGTCGACAGCCATTGGAGGGATAGCTGCATCCATGCAGGGCAAGCGACGCAAGCCCAACCGATCCATGTCGAGAAAGAAGTATGGACCGATGCAGCCCGTCAAGGGCGGCGCCCTGCGCACCTACGATGGTGTGCGCAAATTCCTAGGTCTTACCGGGGGCACGCCTCTGCAGATCAAGCTCAGCAAACTCGCGTACGTCCTCTTCGGTTGTGCCATTCTCCTTGCCATCATCGTGTTTGGAGTCAACCGGTTCAACGTCACGAACGAGGTCGCCATCTACGCCATCTCGACGGGCATTGCCATTATTCCAGAGTCCCTGATTGCGGTCCTCACGATCACCATGGTCGTCGGCATGACGCAAATGCGGAAACGCAAGGTCGTCGTCCGGCAACTCAGTGCACTTGAGGCCCTCGGTGGCGTGACCAACATCTGCTCAGACAAAACCGGCACGCTCACCCAGGGAAAGATGGTTACGCGAAAAGCATGGATCCCAGGCGTCGGCATCTACAGCGTGGAAAACTCAAACAACGCTTCCGACCCCACAGAAGGGATCGTCACTCTGGGGAAGGCACCCAGGTCCCGGCAGGAGGTCGAAGCAGAGAGACTAGCCCGAGAAGAGGCCTTTGACCGCAAACGAAGCACCGCCGGCATCTCGTTCGACCTGCCGAGCGAGAAAGTGCACAAGGACGTCGAAAAGGCAGTGGAGACACCCGAAAGCGCCGTCAGCTCAAACCCAGAGGTCACGCCGGAACTCCAGGCGTTCCTGGAATCCGCGGCGCTCTGCAACCTGGCCTCTGTCCGCAAGGTCGCCGAGGACGGGCAGGAAGAGAAGTGGAAAACGGCAGGCGACCCAACGGAGATTGCCCTGCAAGTATTCTCACACCGCTTCAACTACGGCAAGAAAACGCTCGAGGAGAGCGGTTGGACCCAGAAGATGGAGTATCCCTTCGACAGCTCGATCAAGCGCATGTCGGTGGTGTACGACAAGCCCGGCCTGGAGCACTCCATTATTTTCACCAAGGGCGCCGTCGAGCGCATCATCGACCTCTGTACGGCTGTGGGCGTCGGGGAACACGAACAAGTCATGACTGCTTCCCTCAAGGAAGGCATCCTGGAACAAATGACGTTCCTGGCCGAACAGGGTCTGCGGGTGCTGGCCGTCGCGAGGAAATTTACAACGATGGAAATCGCCGAGCACTCAGATGTGGAGCGCGGCCTGGTTGAAAAGGATCTCTGTCTGCTCGGTCTCGCCGGTCTCTACGACCCGCCTCGCCTTGAGACCAAGAGCGCCGTGCAGGCCTGCACGACCGCCGGTATCACCGTGTCCATGCTGACGGGCGACCACCCGTCAACCGCGACCGCGATTGCCAAAGAAGTCGGCATCATCCCCAAGAACATGGGCACTCTCCCGGCGGACGTGGCGGCCGCAATCGTGAAGACCGCGACCGAGTTCGACCGGATGAGCGAGGCCGAGATCGACGCCCTGCCGACGCTGCCCCTCGTGGTCGCGCGCTGCGCGCCCGAGACCAAGGTGCGGATGATCGAGGCGCTGCACCGGCGGAACAAGTTCGCCGCCATGACGGGCGACGGGGTCAATGACTCGCCGTCGCTCAAGCTCGCCGACGTGGGGATCGCCATGGGCCTGAACGGGAGCGACGTGGCGAAGTCGGCGTCGGACATTGTGCTGACGGACGACAACTTCGCGTCCATCGTCAACGCGGTCGAGGAAGGGCGGCGCATGTTCGACAACATCCAGCGCTTCGTCCTGCACCTGCTGACGTCCAACGTCGGCGAGGTCATCCTCCTCATCTGCGGCCTGGGGTTCCAGGACGACACGGGCTTCTCGGTGTTCCCGCTCTCGCCCCTGCAGATCCTGTGGATCAACATGCTCACGTCGTCCTTCCCGGCGTTCGGGCTCGGGCGGGAGAAGGCGTCGCCGGACGTCATGGAGCGGCCGCCGCACGACACCAAAAAGGGCGTCTTCACCTGGGAGCTCATCACGGACATGCTCGTGTACGGCACTATCCAGGGCACGTGCTGCCTGATGACGTTCGTCTTCATCGTCTACGGGCCCGGGCCCGACGGGCTGGGCCGGGACTGCAACCGCAAGTACAACGAGACCTGCGACGTGGTGTTCCGCGCGCGCGCGGCCGTGTTCGCCGAGCTGACCTGGCTGATCCTGATCTCGGCGTGGGAGTTCAAGTCGCTGCGCCGGAGCATGTTCCGGATCAACCCGCATGAGCAGCGCGCGTTCCCCTTCTTCCACGACGTCTGGGAGAACCAGTTCCTGTTCTGGTCCGTGGTCGTCGGCGCCCTCTCCGTCTTCCCCGCCGTCTACATCCCGGGCCTCAACACGTCCGTGTTCAAGCACAAGGGCATCGGCTGGGAGTGGGCCCCCGCCGTCGTCTGCGTGTTCGTCTTCGTCAGCGGCATGGAGGCCTGGAAATACGTCAAGCGCGCCGCTGGCTGGTTTGCCGAGGAGGAGACCGAGGGCATGAAGGGGAGACGGCACGGGCATCATCACGCGAGCGGCGCGCTGTCGCTGAGACAGGGCTTCTTCACCATGACGAGGAGTTTCACCAAGAGCAAGTCGGAAGAGAAGCAGCGGGCGCCAATGACGAGAGAGCTGGGCGACCGGGACAGAAGCGGGCGGACACCCGTGTTGCCCAGGGTCAGAGAGGATGTTTGAACTCCGGTGGTTTTGCCTGGGTTCGCCCAGTGTGTAATACCAAACTTATAATGAATCGTACTGGGATAGATCAAGGATAGATCACGTTAACGAGAGGCATTTTCCTTTCTTCTGAACCGCAAGCAGCAGAGCAATTTGATTGCCTGTGTGAACTATGAACGCTCGCTCGTAAAGTTCCATGGCTCAGACTTTGACACTTCTGATTTGAACACGTGCCGTGGAATGAAATTGTAGACTCCAGAATCTGGACTTGTCTCTTTCGTTATATCTTGCACCCTCATCTCGGGCCTCCGGTGTCGCCTGAAGTGCCGCAATGAGGAGGACAGGCCTGAGGAAGAGCCGTAATCAAAGCGGCTTTGTGAATTGTACCATATTTGCATGGTGACTGCTAGGACCAAAGTCGAACTGTCCTGGGACACGAAGGCCGCGCGTAGCTGACCCTGTCCACAGGCACAGGCTGCATTCGCACTGATAGCGGGATGCCAATGTTGTCAGATCGGCTCGTGCTAGCCGCAGCTTCAGGTGATTCCTCGCTCCGTCTCTGTTTTCGCGGCTGCGATCATCTCCTCCAGTTCCCGAACATCAAGCTCATACGAGTGATGCGGCGCGAGTGCATCTGAAGTACGTTGCACTGCAGCGCCTCGCATTGCAGCCGCTTGATCTGACAGCTGTAGGATTCTCAGAACATTCCCTGCTGACTGACAGTCCAAACTCAAACTCAGGTCGTGGAGCTGGCCCGTAATGGCCGCGGTCTCAGAGGTCTTTCGGTCCCCGCTTCCCGCGGTGATGCCGAGATGATGGATCAAAGCTTTTGCTGCGGGATCAATGATATCTTTTGACTCGGCCCCTGCCTGGTCGACGATCGGTTTGGTATTAGAGCGAGTACTGGGCTCGAGATGCTTAAGCTGGAAGTCCAGGTCGTGTAAGTTGAGTCGTCGAGATTGCAGGCTTTCCAGCCTCTTTGCGAGATGAACAACGGCATCCGTGAGAGAGCAAAGTTGTCCGTCAACCTGAGTAAAGCTACCGCGTGAGTGATCTTGATAAAATGACTCTACGATAGTGCGACACAGAGCTTACCCTTTGATTGAGTCTCCTTTCGTCCTGCTTTCGCACCCGGCGCACATCCTGAAGAGCTGCATGAAGTGTGTTACCATGTTCCTGAGCCACAACCATCCCCACCACATCATCAATCTCCGAGTATAGAGAGTCTAGGTCTTCTTGCACAGTGTCGAGCGTACCGTCAGACACGTCCTCGGCGTTGCTGAGTGATTCCAGATACGTAAGATCCAGACGATCTTTGACCGTCTGAGTGCGAAAATACTGCAAGGCACGTGTAAGTTTGTTCACTCGATCAGTCAATGCTTCGAGATCGATTTGACATCCTTCCTTGGCGCTGGAGGACGAGAGGTCATTGAGCTCGGAAAGTGCGCGATCGTCCGAGTTAAGGAGCTCCGTAACAACCGCGGCGGTTGATCTGACTTCTTTGGTAATGCGCTCGAACTCGGCTCGAAGAGCTGACCTTAGAGCCTCGAAAAGTTGCTCATTCTTGAGTGCACAAGTCAGCAATTGAAGGGTTCTTTAGATCGCCGTCAGAAAACTGGGGGGATGATATACAGCAAACTTGACGTGTTGCACTTCAGCGGCGTGTTTTTGGTCGAGGTATTGTTCTTGTCTGGCCTTTCGAGCATCAATAGCGGTTTCAACGTCCTCCAGTTGCTTCAGCTGTGCACCTTGTGCCCGGAGGATCCGCGTCCGCCGCTCAATCGTCCTGGTCGAAGACTTTAGTGCTCTGATGGCCGCCCGAAGCTCTCCATCGGTCGAGGGAATCGTTGTCGACCTGCTTCCTCTGCAGGATGAATCCCACCCCTCTGGTCCATGAAAAAACTGGCATCTGTCACGTAGTCAACTTTTGCACGAGGGGTTGGTGCGGGAACAACGCACGTCGCGCTTCCATTCTCGGTCAGAGGCGTCTGTTCCTTGAACTTGTCGTGCACCCACCCCTCCAACAACGAACGGTTTCCGGCTGATTTGGATCCTTCACTAGTATGGTTGCGCACGGGCGTAGTGTCGACCCATGCTTGCAGGGGCGTCATCACGCCTAGGGAGCAAGGATGTTGTTAGACCGCTCGGCAGGGATGATGGCCTTAGTACCTCAAGAGGCAGACTCTGCTACCATCGAATCTTGCAACGTAACTTTCCTGACTTCTAATAGGACAATAGGAGCTCGTTACGATTGTCTGGGCCCAGGTAACGGGAAAGAAAGCAAGATCTTTGCTCAATTTGGTTAGTTTTCCTCCCCTCCCATTTCCTAGCCTCCAAAATCTCCCACGCTTACAATATGATTTTGGGCTAATTTCCAATAGGGAGAATCTTCTGCGTGTCACCGCTTCACTACAGTCGGCGGCGATGGCTTGAAGAAGACGATGACTGCCATGATACTGGGTTCGTGCTTGCCTTGGGGCTTCAAAGTTCTGGGTTGGCGGACGAATTCTACATCATATGCAATCTGACCAGGGATGACGGCTGCAAAGAAATGACCGCCGAGGAAATATACGGTCACCCAGACCTGCTTCAATTCTGCAATACGGAAGAACAGTTTACGGTGGCGCGAGTTGAGAGCCGAGGGCTCGATCTCCTTCTTGGATCCTGGGAAGAGATTGACTACTTCGATGAACAGGATAAGAAGATTCAGTTGACGAAGCTTTCGGACCGGATACCTGAAATCGTGGAAACAGGCTGGAGACAGGACAGCAATGGCGATAAATCATTGGTTGGTCTATTCCCCAGTTGAAACCCTCTGGAACAGAGTAACAATTGTGAGGGTTCTAGGAGACCACGGTATACTTGGGAAAAAACGGTAAATGGAAGCAGGTTGTTTCCAGCCGATCTTCCCAATGAAGCTCTTGTCTTGATATTACTGTTGGGAGTTGTTCCTCTTCCCCTCGCCCTCGTGACTGGAGGCGAACTTTCGGCCATCTGGCTCTCAACGTGATGTTGAGGACCATGACTCGCGCGCGGCGACGACGGTGAGCACAGGGCGGCATCACCCTCGATCCGATCGGGGGCGAGCCGCGAGCACCTTTTGACATCCCTGGGCCTCCTTGTCCCGTCTCTGCGCCTGAAAGACTGGAAGCTACAGCAACAGCGACCTACCATGCAATTGTACGTCATCCAAACCGTCCTCCTGGGTACTTGTGCTTGAGCATGACTTTGGTCACATCAGAAGAGTGTGACGCTTCCTTTCCCCGAGCCCCAAACTTGATGAGCCTCGCCATCCTTCCGGCAAGGCACAATTCGAGGTTGGCGGCGACTCTGGGAGGACAACCAAACCCTGCCGTGCCCGTTGTATTACCGACGGTCGCGCGCTGAGAGAGGGGGTTCCTGGTTGTGGGCGGATATCCCACGCCTGGGGGCGATTCTCTCGAGTAGCCGAAGGGGGGATACAACAGGGTAAATATACGGAGTACGTGATACAGACGAGAAGTTGCGAAGTGACAATCATGCTTTTTTGTGTGAAATTATCTAGTCATATTGAATTCTACATTTTCCGCCGGTGGAAACTCGGATTCTGCACCTACAGCCAACAGGCAACGGCCAGCAAGCGCATCACATCGAACGACGTTGTTGTGAAAAGGCCAGCGCGTCAATTGTTTGAAAGGGAGTATATTTCGCCCAGCCACATATACACAGCCAAATTAACTCCGCCCAGAGAATAGCATGTCGCCGCTCATCGTAGAAAAAGTGCCGAAGGGGAATCGATAACGTTGTTGTATAGCTTGAATGCGCTCAGTAAATCGAATGTCGTTATAAGGTCGCTGTGACTTCAGGTACCACCTCTCGTCAAGCCCCCCTCATTGTCGTCTGCGGGCCAGCTGCTGTTCTCGTTATGATTGTTTGCCGTGGCCGTTGGCAGCAGTCCCGTTCACCTGCCCATTCGCCTTTTGCGCCTTCGACTCGCGATATTTGGCGATATCTTGTTCCACCATCTTATCCACCCGACTCTTCAGTTCCGGCCTGTACCCAAGCGCAAACAGGACCTCTAGCCAGACAAAGAGCGGCGCCAAGAAAAAGGCCTGGAAGATGTTGTCCAGCAACGCAGGAGCACGTCCTTCGAACACTCCGTGGCCCAGGAATTGTGCGATCCACGCTGCCACGAATGCCGCCGCCGCCCAAAAGTTGGCGGTCATCCCGTGGACAGCGACCAGGTGGTGCGCGTAGGCGGTTCCGGCGAGAAGCAATGCGGCGAACGCCGTCCCGGCTACTGGCTCGAGTAATATGTATAGTCCGCAGTAGGATAGGCAGAAGAGGGTGCCGGCGTTCAGTTCGAGGTTGGGGACGGTCATTGATTGAGGCAACTTGATCAGTGTACCCGAATTCGTGAACTATCAGAACGTAAGTCGTCGTGGTCGTCTCGGGAGGAGTTGTGCGTCATACCAGCAGAAAGGTAGTCCATAAGATAATAGGCACTCCGACCATGTGTATACCAATATTGATCTGAATGCACATCAGCGACTTCTCTCCTGGGCCGACATCTCGAACCGTACGCTGTCATGATGGTAGGCGCCATACTGGGGAAAAATGGTCAGCGGGATCGACGGCAGAGGGGTTGCAGTGGGCTCACAAAGCGCAGTTGTTTCTCCAGGTTGAGAGCCATCTTGGACTATGGTCGCAGACGCTGGATCGGACGGTATGCAAAGGCAGGATTCAGCTCATCGAGGTCGGGCGCAGGCAGGGCCTTTGACGGGCGAAGCTGAATATTCAAATGGCAGTGAATTATTGTAACGCACATGGTAGGTTAAATAACGGCGGAACTGTTGCGTCTCACCACCTCGGCGTCATCGCCTTCCCTCACAATCCGATTCACTCCGCACGCCAAATTGATTTCACGAAGTTGCTTGGCCCATCAGCGACTCGGCATAGAGAATCGCCACTTAACGATATGGCTCTTAACATATATTGTGTATTAGCGGATGAAACTCCTGCAGCCTCGTAGATAGCAACCAGACAATGCGGTAGGCCAAAGATCTTGCCCCAAATTTTGGGTGTGCCATCTATATGTTTTCAGTCTTTCCAACGGGTTCGCCTGGGATTTCGCGTTGAACCATCGTGGTTCCAAACTGTGTTTGTTGTTCGGCGGATGAATTTAAGTGTTAGGGTGCCTCCCTGTCGAGAGAAAGGACAATGAAGTCCCGCAATGCGATCCGTCCCTCCCACCCCGTCCCTACATAGACAAGTCTTTCACAATCCGAGTTTGTGTTTTTTGATGCGTGGTATCACGCCCACGAGCACTAGAACACTTGCCACAATGACAGCCCACAGCTTGATGTGCAGCACTCCCTTGTTATAAGATGTCTGGGTGGCTGCTGCAATGACAGCCAGAAAATAGACGGCGAGGGTGTAGCCCGACATTCTGCCTCATCGTTAGGCCCGAGAAGCGCCAACAATCTCGGCTCACGTACCTATGATATTTATACAACGATTTGGCCCGATCGACAGTGCCGAATATTGTCTCCGGCAGATAAAATGCAGCGGCTCCGATGAGCCATTGCAGGAAAATGAGTATGTATGCTACCAGTGCCATCTTCCCGTGCACACTCTGGAACCGAGTTTCTGGGTGTGAAGCCTTGTTCATCTCGATGATGACCAGGCCGGCAATGAGCAATGCCACAGCCGATGTATTGATGGCCGAGTGCACATATGTCCCCGTGATTTTGTCCTTTTGAGCTGCCGTGGGTTGAAGGACCAGCACGCCTTGAACAAGTAGGAGGACGGCCAAGGAGTTCAGCAAAGGATGGTAGGAGAAGAATATAAACTTGTTCTTGAACACCGCAGCCCAGACCAGAGCTGTGAGGATGACAACGCCTACTTGGGCGAGGATAGCTGTACCCGGTCAGCAACAATGCGAGAAAAGGTGTCGATCTCTATGAGTAGAGACGCAGCCTCCCTTACCCGTTCCTGTCACAAAATTGAACTGCATCCCCTGGCCTGGCCGTTGTGTAACATCTCCTGGCCGTCCCAAGAGGGGCTCCTCCTCTTCAACAGCGGGATTCCGCTCTGGTATCCCCGTTGCAGAAGCCATGGTGGATGTTGGCTGCGAACGGTCCGTGCACGACAATGGGTTGCGAGTTGTAGCACTCGAAAGGTCAGGTTTAGCAAAGCTCGAGGGAGGGATTGGTTCTGGCTGATGGAGGAGGGGAGATCGGTCGAGGTCGTCTCAAATATCATGGATCATCACTCCATCTTGCGGAGCACCCTGGTGCCACTAGGCACTTGGGTTTCGTGTGTAAACACCGTTGGAAGCCGTCGAGCTGACCAATTTGACCTGCGGATTGGACGCCTCTCGGCACAGTTGCGACTGGGGTCCGCGCAATAACAAAAGTGTATGACGCTATCGGAATCTGATAATCTAATGAAGCTCCGGCACCACCGGGGCATTGTTTATCCAACCACCCTTCCTGACTTGTTATGCCTTTTCACGTGGCATCGCTCATTCACATCGAAGCAGCAGCCTTTATCGCCTGCTTGCGTGCGAGGCAATGAATTGACGTTCATCCAGTATCGCGTTGCTTCACAGCAATGTCGCTCAAATCACCAAAGAACGAAGGCTTCTCACCGCCCTTTGCACGTTCACTGTGCTCATACCGCCCCGTTCCCTGACAAGCTGGACAAACGAGACCGTCCATAACAAAATGTACCCTTCCCTCGTCCTCCCATGGTCTACAAGTCCATCAGAACGCGAAAATACATACCGCACTGCAGGCCTGGTGAAAACAAGAGGAACACTCTTCCTTCTGCCTCCGCCAACATCCACCTTGCGCGATACATTTAATGCACCACCACGTCCCAAAACCCGTATGTCTTCTGGTGCAGTCGCACTCTGCAAACATTTTGAACGCGGTGGTGCATCGTCGGAGCATGGCCGACATCATCCATTTTGGACCCTGCCCACAGGTAGCAATGAGAACAAGACGGAGATTGCAAGAGTGATATTGGAGGACATGCTGGTGCAAGCAGTCTGGAAGAATGTGATGCTCTTGCACCACGGAGTAGCAGTGTATGAGATTAGGAACGCAGGTGGATACGGAATGAGGTGGACGCTGGATATAGAGGAGAAGAGAGAGAACGAACAGGCCGATATGGGTATACCAACCGACATTCAGACGACAGCCGCCAGTCCAGACGCCCTCAGCCAAGGTGAAGAAGATGAGGATGATTTCCACAAGGATTGGGTGGTTACCAAGACGACTTTTCGCGGGTTCCTGGAACCTATTGCTGGGATGGATCACGAGCTGCCGGGTCAAGAAGTGAACGCAGCCAAGTCTTCACATCCTGATGAGCAGAAACACGATAGAATGATAGAATGATAGAATGATAGAATGATAGAATGATAGAATGATAGAATGATAGAATGATAGAATGATAGAATGATAGAATGATAGAATGAT